TTGTTATGTTCACTCTGGGTTTTCAGACAAAAACATATTTATTAACTCCTTGAATTCAGAGACCCTACAGTTGGTGATGTAGACATTGACAGTGTTAACAACAAAAGTGAAAGTGTAATTCAATGTATTTATGTAAGAATTTAATTTCTCCCTCTGCTTGGTATGAAAACAGCACCAAGTTTAATATTCATCATGACATTGTGCAGACCTTGCAAAGACTGACTTTGCAGAAAGCACAGGAATAAGATTCCCATCTTTTTGGAAATATGTAAATGTACAAATTTTCTAATGGAGAATTGTTAGTCCTCTTTAGGCGTTTTCACTCACCAAAATTAGGTCATGCACACAACGTCTTTTTGCCTCAGGCCATATCAATCTGAGCTGCAACGCTCATGCATGGGTCTTAGCTCATCTCTCCGTGATGTAATAATCAGATAATTACATGCATGGACCGTACCACAGATGAATATTAGACTTCTTTAAATATGCATTCTGTCCTGTCTTTGTTGTGTATATGTGGTACGGGTTTCAGTGGGTCAATCACGGTTAACCGCACTCGCTCATGGAGTGTCATAGACTTTTCCCAGCAGGACGCGTGTCGTGCTGATGTGTTTAATATCCGGACTGTGTCAGTGGCTCATCACTGAAATGAGCTCGATTGTCTCCACAGAGGTGTTTATTGGTCGGCCCACACAGAGCTCACGTTGCCGAGGCAGAAACATGAAAATAAACTCACTGACTAAATGTGGCACAGGCTCACTGACCCTCTGATGTGGCCTCCTCTGGTAACTGCCTGCTCAGGAACTGGTGCGAAAACAAACAAAAATCTTTTTTTTTTTTTGTCAGAGATTTTTTGGCTCTTTGCCTCAGAGCCCCGGCCGCCTGCAGAATAATGACTGGCTCCGATCTTCCCCTGGGCCTGGCTCACTCTGATCCCGTCCCAGAGGTGCTCTTCATCGGACAGGACGGTGTCGTACCGCATCATTTGTCTGACAAGGAAGGCACCTGCCTGGTTAATATTGATGCTGTCCTGAGAGGGAGGGAGGGTGATTTAAAACATTGTGTATGCACCACTTAGGCTAAGTGTTTTAACCTTGACTCCGGGTCTTTCCTGTGTGTTAATATTTCAACACATTTTTAGCAGGCTGTATACTCCAGCAGCGACGAAAACGTTCACACGTGTAATATTAGCTTGATGTTTTGTAAGTTACACCAGAAAAACCCACTGGTGAAACGTCTCCATCCCTTGACCAGGTCACATTTGGTGATCAGCAGGACAACAGACACCATCTGATTGTCCAGACAATATTAGCTTGTTAGTTCCACTCAGACGCCCTTTAAAAAAAACGGCTGATCTGTAAAAATAAAGGGAAACACTCTGGTCTTCTAAATGGAGAACATCACTCTTTGTGAGTATTGCTTTCCTGTGTACTGTGTTGCATTTATCTTTTGAACATAAACCAAGTGAAGCTGAGATGTTTTGCAAAGACATTGACATTTTCCAAGATCATGTGCTATGAATTCAATGGCAAGCTTTTCACCCAGCGAGTTTACCACAAGGCCAGACTATGCAAAGAAAAACTAATGACCACAAACCTCAAGTTAGATCTGAAAGTATTGAAAAAAGACAACGGTAACAGCCTCTTCTCTGTAGAACGAGCTTGTCTACGCTGCTCCAGAGGAAATCACAAGGATTTTGGAATGTCCTTCGGACCAAAATACTCATTTTTAGCAACTGTCAGGGTCGTGATGGAGGGCTGAAAATTTGGGCTTGTTTGCCGCCACATGACTACCGTGAACTCCTCTGTATAAGAAATGTTTTGAGGTCAAATGGGCAGTCCGCATGAGAGATAAATAGCCTCTGTGACTGGATCATGAACAGAACAACGGCCCTAAACACAGCCACAAATCTACAAAGAATGTCTGGAAAAGATAATAATCCTGGTGCTGCTCCGGTCCAGTCGAAGTCCAGACCTCTAACTCATTGATTTAAGAGGAGAGCTGTGAATGGTCTCTAAACCACGGTAAACCAAAGCTATGTTGTAAAACAGAATGAAACGAGAAAGTGATTCCAAAAAGCAATCAGAGATGGTTTTGCCTCTAACGATGGTTCTAAAGCTGAAGACTGCTTTTTAAAAAATAAATAAGGAAGGCTTTTACATCCCTAACCGCCTGTTCAGAAACCATATGATGTATGTATGATTTATGTCATGACATTCAAGGGTATATCGCTTAAAAAAAAAGAAATCCCTCTGAATATTTTTGTAATGGCTAAGCTAACACATTGGTCCAAAATTTCCCAAAGGTGCTCAGCTGTGTAAAAGTTGCGTTGGCATGTGCTTCACATCATCTTCACACACATCAGACTGTTCAGTGACTCATGGCAAAGTCAATAATTTACAATGAAAGCTTTAGGTTTAAGTTTTCATGTGTTTCTTTTCACAATTCTTTCCCATTTCCCTGCAGGAAGCTTTCAAACAGCAGCTGTGGCTTAGATTGGGTTGACACGTTTCTGCAGTTTGAATCTTCTCTGTTACTGCTAATCTTACACCTATTCTTCCACAAAATGTGGATTTTTTCCCACTTCTGTCAGCATCTCTCAGAGCCACTTCTTTAAGGAAGTCCAATTTCTTTCAAATGTGTCGGAGTAAATTTTACTTCCAGCAAATTGTTTAGTAAACATCAGTTAACCACATGTAACATCCCTGAATTTCATCCCGCATCCCGATATTGGAGGTCCTCATACAAATAATAGCTATAAAATTGATTATAAAAGCTAACAGAAAATCCTGGCCCAGTGAACAGAACCATGCATGTTCCCACATAAAAAAACAGGAGACGAAAACATAAAAAATATTTAATTTACTTCAGTTAAACAAGTGCCCCTCAAATATTTGCTTACTGCAAATATGCTTTAAAACTGCAGATTTAATTATGTTCCACAAGCTGCAAATTGTTTAATTACTAACAGTAACAGAAGCACTTTATAATATCATATAACTCATATTGGCCTTCAAAGTCTTATAATAAGGAAACTGATTGATGAACACAGCTAAACACATTGTAGATGCATATACAGCTGAGGACTTCTCTAACATTATTACTTTATTAACATTATAAAGTATGTAGATATCACCTGAATACCAAAATATGACACAATTCATACGTTCACAAAACATACATCATTTATCTTATACAGTTATTTCTTATTATGAAATAGGATGTCCAATTATAAAAGATACAAATTTGTTGCAAGATTAACTTATATCTCAAGACCATAGAAATGAGATAAATGTACAAAAAGAAAAGATTTGGAATGAAAATGTGGCACTTGATCGTATCCTCTGCTACATTCAGGATGCAGCCTTTACTGCATCAATCAAACGCAAAATTCACATGGTTTTTAATCTGCACTCTGAATGATAAAGAACAATTTCACATTTTTGGAGCCAACTCAGATTTGTCTGCATGGATGACACAGGTTAGGCTACATCTATCATCAGGGTAGCTTCACTTAGCTTAGCATTACACCTGGGGGGAAACAGCAGGTTCGGCTCCTCTAAGGCTCTCTAATATAGATGTATATTTTAAAAAGGAGTTAATAGATAAAACAGCAAAACAATAAAAGGCGTGACATGTGTTGAACCAGGCAGGTTTGACTAATTCCTTTTCAAGGCAGTCACTGACTGAATACAATATTGACGGCAATCATGGAAGACCCAAAATCCCTCTGTCTCAAGAGGTTTTACAGTGTTTCACCAACAGGTTTTGCTCCATTTCATCAGTAATTTGATTTATTTTTGCTGTTTAAGTATTGTGGCGAAACGGCACAAATAATACTATTAATAACAGTCTTTAAAAAAAAAGAACAAAAATAGTCACATTTAGTTTTAACTGAAGGAAGGGCTTTTGAAAAACTATGCCTGGATGGCAGTGTCCGTCTTATATTTCAGCATAAACATATGACATAAAAGTAAGATGCCAGGCAATTTCAAAGCTAACATTTCTCTGATGTAATCTGGGTTGATCATGTGATTTTTCCTTTTTTTTTTTATTTACATGTCAAATTATTACCTAGAGCCAGACCAGCTGTTTCCCTCAGTGTCCATAGTCTGTGTATAAAACTGGATACAGCTGTCACATCACCCCATTTTAAAGCCATTTCAGTGCTTTTAGAGCCTTTTAGAGCCTCATATTTAGAGGTGGAGCAGGACTGGACAGTTTATATCTGGTTGGACTGAAATATGTTTATCTAAGATACAACTTCTTCTGTGGTATCGTACTTAAAGGCACCTCCACATCAGTTTTCCTATGACGCTGAACCGCTTTGGCCATGTTTATTTACGGTTTATGTCAGTCCAATGCTCATGCTAAGTTAAAGTAGCCTAAGATAGACCAGCTCCATCGATCATACTCAGCTTAGTCAAAAAGTACCACTGTATCTTCTCATCTGCAAGGATGTTACTAAGATTATTTTCCCAAAATATCCAACTGGAAATGTTTTCTTTAACCAATGAAGGACAGAACAAACAAAGTGTAACAAAACACAACAGGTTAGGTATTGACAAGGTGGCTGAATTTCATTGGAACTATACTCACCGTTAAGCTTCCCTTGTTGAAAATAAACAGACTGATTGCTACCTCACCTACATTTATAGAATAAATCAGTGTACATACATATATATATATCCATAAATTCATAAATATACACGCATTCGTAGACAATTCAGTTGCTTCTCTCGTAAGAACAAAGTTTATTTTACGCTAAAATCTTAAATTAGAAATATGCCTGAAAGAAGATCTTTCACTACTGGACGCATATATTTGAAAATGTGGCACCTTGTTTTCACCCTTATCTTGTAAAAGCTGTTTAAGTTATTGAGTGAAAAATGACTTGTCAAACCACAGAATGCCTTTTTTTTCTTATATATCATCATATGTAGCCAAGTCGTTGTAAACGGGAACATACAGCAGAACTTGCAACATCTAGCAGACTTTGCTCACAGAGTTGAGGAGCTTTGCTTGAAGTCTCTGAGGATGACAGAAGCATACGTCACACTCGGCGGTGTGCACAAAATCGACTCGGACACCGGGGAGTTTGGAAATGGGCTCACTGGAGGGCCAGAGCAATCACGGAAAGGGGAGGGAGGCATCAGAGCCACGGAGTCCTCCACTGCTAACTTCACCTCAACCATGTCCTCCTCTTCGTGAAGCTGGGCGTTGTTGTACATGTAGCCGTGGAGAAGGCCAAACTGTTCGTTATCCATCTCCTCGTCCTCCTCCTCTAAAGGGGGAGAGGGCTCCTCGTCAAAAGGGTCGAGGTGGACGGGCAGGACTGGCTCCTGCTGAATGAGATGTGCCTGGTGGTAGACTGGCATGCCACCACTGACAGCCTGAGGCATGCTAATCATTTCGCTGAGCTCAGGGATATCACTGCTGAACTTGTTGAAAAGGCCCTCCTCCTGGAGGCGGCCCATGATGGCATGTTGAGGGATAATGCTATTTTGCTGGAGGGGCTCAGGGGAATAGAGCTGCACCTCCTCCCCCGCATCTTTAAGCAACATACAGGGGGGGATCTGCCCGTGAGCCATCATCGGGGGGGTTGGAGGGGAGTTGTAACTAACAGGGTCACTCTCGTCCTCCTCAGCCACATTGTACAACGTCTTGGTACTGAGGTCTGAGAATTCCCGGGCAGTGTTTTGGTAGGTATTAGTTAAGGGTTTGATGACAGCCATCTGATTGGAACCTGCTTCCTGTCTCTTCACATGCACTGACAGTCTGTGCCACATGTGATCCCCTTTTGGAGGATGTCTTGCACCTGGTTCAGACCATGACACAGACTTTCCATTAGAACTATGAACAAAATAAAGATGGCTGTTACTTCGCAGGAACCCAGAAAGGTGAAGACAAAAACAGAATTTCTGGTTCATTTAAAAGAAGCTGCAAACACGTACACAACCAGTCGAAAGTTTGGACACTTTCACTCATTCAAAATATGAAAAGGTTTAAACTTTAGACTGGTGCAATATATATACATGTATATATATATGTATTTATAAATATATACACATATATGTGTGCGTGTTTTTTTGTTTTCTGACAGGGTATCTGCAGGGTATTCGCAGGCAAAAATGATAATTTGTTAAAACCTTTATGAATTTCAAAAGCCGAGATATTATTTTAGGTGTTTTTACTAACAGAGTTGTTGACATGTGAAGGCATCCAGACTAGGTATGAAAGAAGTATCCACCGACATGGATCATAGTATATTTATGCCAAACAAAATAAAAACATAAATCATAGAATATAAAGTTAATAAACCTTAAGATGCACCCCCAATTTCCAAATTATTCAAAATAATTAAGAACAAATTCGACATTGCAAAAAGAAAGCTTTCAAATGTTTGTGTGCTAATGTCATTATCCATCTAATCATTTAATGTTTATGTTTATGTTTATGATTTAATCAATCATTGTAAAATCATTAAGGAAAAGAATTATGTAGATTTGATTATTTTTCATTGACATTTTTTTCCTGAAATGGACTCAGCATCTTGAAGTTTCTTAAATGATGACTATATAATTTAGACCCTGAAGAAACCCTGTATTCTGCACGTGTGAACTCATTGCTATCCCTTAGCACACAGAGATGCTTGTTTTAATCTCGCCAAAAGATCAAAGGAGAAGATATGCTGTGTGAATTGAGTACTGACCTACAACTGTCACACTTTTTAACAGGTGCTCCTATGAAAGTAAATACAGTTAGGTGACATGCTCCCTTTGAGAGGTAATCACAGTAAAACCAGCATCCCCGAGGTGCCTCAGGAGCAGGACTCGCAGACTCAATTAATGAACCCACCTGCCGTTGCCAGCGTTCTTCTTCCTCTTGAACATGTTGAGCAGGCTGTTGCTCCGGCAGGCGATTTTGCCGTCGCCGACGTGCATGCGCACGGCATCGGAGGTGGTGAAGGCGCTGCGCACGTTCCGCTCCGGCTTGGCGATGATGATGTACATCTTGGGCGTGAACATACATCCCAAGGCCACGGTCACACTGAGGCTGACGGAGAAGGAGGTAGTGATGATCTTGTAGTTGCTGCCAAAGTAGATGGGCACAAACGCGAGCCAGATGATGCACGTGGTGTACATGGTGAAGGCGATGTACTTGGCCTCGTTGAAGTTGGCGGGAACGTTGCGGGTCTTGAAGGCGTAGTAGGTGCAGCTCATGATGAGCAATCCGTTGTAGCCGAGTGGAGCCACCACTCCCAGGTTGCTGGTGTTGCAGATCAGGAAGACTTCTCTGATGCTGGGGTAGGACTTGACGGGCTCCGGGGGCTCCATGATGATGAGGGTGACTTCCAGCGTCAGCTGGGCGCTGATCAGTATGGAGGCGATGACCACCTGAGCCCAAGCACTCATGAAGCGGGGCTTCCGTGTGCAGATTTTCTTCTTGCTGCCCGCCAGGATGCGGGCGATGCGGTTGGTTTTGGTCACCAGGGCTGAATAGCACATGGCAGCGGAGAGGCCGACCAGAAGTCTCTGCAGGTAGCAGGAGGCCACCGTGGGGCGGGCGATGAGGGTGAAGGGACACAGGTATCCCAGGAAGATCCCCGCCAGGATGATGTAGCAGAGCTCCCGGCTGGAGGACTTGACCACAGGCGTGTCGCGGTACAAAACGAAGATGAAAGCCACGAACGATGTCACCAGGATGCCCACGCAGGAGAAAACCACCTGGATGATGGATTCCGGATTGCTCCACTCCAGGTAGCGCAGGGGGATTTGCTCACAGCCTGAAATTGGTTGAAAACAGTAGAATAAAAACACAGTCACAATACACTGAAATCTGCTCTTGTTTCGTCAATCAAACTCAGTTTCTAGGCTAATTTGTCATGAAAAAAAAACCTGAAGAAAATAACATTTCCAAAGAGATGGGTAAAGGAGAAGCATTGGTAGATTAAAGATCAATCAATCAAAAGTCTGAGAAAATACGGTAAGTACCAAAGTAGGTTTTTAGCTCAACTATAAATAAATGTCTTTCAGCTGAGCTTTGGCCAGGCTGGGGTGCAGCCAGCAGAGAAGAGGCCAGTGCAGCAGGACAAAGTAAATAACTGCATATTTCATGGTTCCATCCTTTCTGCTTCAAGCCGAAAACACACTTTCAATATGTATATAATTCATCGATGTTTTATTTATTCATCACATAGTGGCGGAATGGTTAGGATTAGAACAGAGTGCAGGAGCATTTTTATGTCAGCCCTCTTTCAATCCACATTAAACTGTCTCTGCTTCTGTCTGAACACCCTGTGGTTAAAAAACACGTTAAAAAAAAGCAACAGTGTGGAGGCAGTGTTGATCCTATTAAGAAAGTGTCTGTCTTTGAACAGCATGCAAGGCCTCTGAAAGTGGGCCAGAGGAGTGGTAAGTGAAGTAGGGCTGCTGTCAGATAAAATGGTGAAGATGATGAATGTGCTCTCAGGTGTCATGGGAAAGCAATGAAAATAGGCCAGAACAGGTCTGTAAAATAGCACCGCAAAAAAGTCTTAGCGGGGCAAGCTGCGCATGGTACAGTACTGGCAGAGGGAGTTGGAAAAGTAAAAGACTGGGCCAACTTCTTACAGCCTCCTTAACTAAAAGGACCGCCTCCTTTCTCTGGACGCATCGGGCGTGCTTAAAGGACAGGGCGGCCTTTATGGTTGGGTCTGTAGATTTTGAATTCCCTCCTAGTGAAGGAATGGGAGCCTAAGCTCTGGCAGTCGTGTTTTGCTGCAGGTTTACAATCAATGACGTCAATGTTCTGATTTTTTTTGGTTAGAAACTTTGAACACTTGACTTAATATCGTGATCAGAATCGTTGATTAAGATAGAGGAATATTCGATAAGTGTCATCTTCGTGCAATAAAGACACCACATGTTGAGCTTTCCAGCATTCAGCTAACATTTCCTGATGTTTTCGCTGTGAAAATGCAGGTTTTTTTTCAGCAAGCTGTCATATCACCAGATGTCCCAGAGCATCTTTAAATGTGATGCAGCAATGGGGTCTAAATGCATCCCAGCACTAAGAGCTATTTACTCGTGGTAAGATTTCCCAGGACACATGTTTGTACCAGCCTTAGATAAAAGTGTAGGCAGCAGGTTGCTGCACTGTGAAGCACGATAAACGTCTTAGCGAGCTGTGTTGACCGGGAGTCAGTTTTCAGCGTCTCAGAGGTGGTTATCTAGGCCTGGCTAGATCATGATTGTAACTTAGGTTGGACTCGTAACCTGCTGTGAAGGAGTCTAGCATCAAATCAATGATAAATAAATGTTGAATTCATCAACCTGTACTCCATCATAGCAACCATGCATCCAGCTGGGGATGCAGACGGGGTTTTATCTGAACCCTGATTGAAAAATCTAAGTTTCTGAGTTACTGGTATTGATCTTGAGTTTGTAGCAGAGAGTAAGATAAACTAACTCGTTTCTGGAAGCAGTCATTACTTGTCCCAATGGCAGCAAACGTGTTGTATATTTTCCTTTTCAGATCTTTGTATTTTCAAACCTCTCCACTCATATGAGCTGCTATTTATGCATAAGGTTTCAGAGTACTATTGTATTTGATGGACGGCAAAAGCTTCCACTCTGTCCTTCAAACAAGCAAGCACAGAGGAAAGCTTGGCAGGATTATCCACATTCCCACACTCCTCTAGTTGAGCCCGACACAGGAACTGAGCACATCACTTATTTTTTTAACAGAGTTTTACAATAGTCTGCCACTTGAGCCCAAAAGGGTCCTGAAGGCAGCATAACAAGGGGACAAACACAGGCAGATGAAGGTGTCCATGCTAATGATTCTCTGAGGAAAACCCGGCTAAATCCAATGCTTGCTGAGAGTTTAAAGAGACAAGTTACAGAAAATAATGAAGTCCAGACATACCTTCCAGTTCTTCGTCAGGCCACCAGCCCAGCTCACAGGCCTTGCATGTGAACTCGTCCTGGACATACTCGTTTTCTTTGCAGGCAGTGCAGATCCAGCAGCAGCTCACCTCCCCCTTCCTTATGACCTAGTTGAGGAAAAATATAGAGAACAAAAAGTAAAACTACTTTTCTGCAAGTAAATACATTTATTGTACCCGTGTATGGTAAAGAGGAGGTTCATTAATTATTTTTCAATGGTTTTAACTGAAGGCAAATTAAGAAAAGAAGGTGCATACATTGGATAAATGCATACGGGATGATGGTTCGAGACATTTTCTAACAAAAAATAAAAAGTTCTGTTTACTTTTGTTAAAAGAAACATGAATACATTTGAAAGGCAGGAACAGTATAACCAGAACCTTCAACTGAAATACTACAGGATTAAACTACTGGCATAAATGGTGGCTTTTTGGTAAATTATTACCATTTCAATTTTGTATACCTTTTGGGTTGCTAATATGTGAAATATTTGTCGGAAATGCAATGGTTAATCTGAACAAAAGCATTCACAATTATAATTTCTAAAGGTCTGATCATGACATGTCAAAGGTGCTTTGCAGACCTTGATCTCTCCTTTTGAGCAGGGCTCACTGCAGACTGAGCGGACCATGTCACTGCGGTTCATCTGGATCATTTCCTCATCTAGACTCAACATGCCCTCATGCCAGGAGCCAATGTTGATGTAGTCATAGACTCCAGGCTCCACACTCTGAAAGTTCATAATCTCGTACCTAACAGTGGACAAGGAGACAGAAGTGAGAACAAAGCAGTGTTCATAGAAGATTCCACATTAACTTCAGTCTAAAGAGAAGACAAGAGTCCTTGGAGACCTGGAATAAAGCATTTAGTCTAAAATCATGGACTGAAACTCTGAAAGTGTGTGGGAACTATCTCCAGAGGACTCTTTGTAGATAAGATATTATGTCAATAATTTGGACAAAAGAGACTTACAAATAACATTAGAGCAAGAGAAAACTTTCTCTAACCGCTTATTCCCTAATGGAGTCATGGGGGGACTAGAGCCTATCCCAGTAGTCAATTGGTGAGAGGTGAGGTACACCCTGGACATTCCGCCAGTCCATTGGGGGGCTTTTTTCTTTTCCATTATTCCCCAATTATACTATATAATTCCCCAGTTATATGGAATATTATACAATATAAATTACTTTCAATATAATAATCAAAATGAATTATAGGGCACCACTGGCACAAGGAAAACTTTAATAACTAATGACCAGCATCAGTATGAAACCATTCAATCTGAAACCAGCATTACATGAACACAGCAAACACTGATCCTGTGAATCTATACAGCTGTTCTGATTACAGATGCGAAAGCGGACACTCCTATTGGTTTATGTGAGCAGTGAACAGAGGAACGTAAGGGAGGTGGGCTTACCTTCCCGGTGAGTCACCGTTCTCGTCAAACCAAACGTCCTCCCCAGACACACCCGTGAAGGAGGTCTTGAGGAGAAAGTCCAGTAAGTGGCTTCCATCGATGGGCTTCATATTGTCACAGAGGCCCACGTGCCCAGGACAAAGGTGAGAGTGCATGTCATGCAGCCCGTGGGCCATGGCATAGATGGCATTGATGACAAAGCCCATCTTGCTGTCCTGTACATAGTTATCCTCCAGACTTTCGTAACCTGCCCACACACGAGATGAAAGTAAGGACTCATCCTCAAGACATGGAAAATGGATAAATAAATTATGAAAAAAGCCTTACAGGTGCCTGCCTCATTGCTGTAAGCAGAAGCATGTTGTAAAATCTTTTCAGAACATCAGGTGTACTCAACAAGTTGTGTAGCGTGATGGAAGGTATTACAAAGGAGTGATAGGGTGCTCACAGATGCAGTGCTGTAATTGTTCTCAGAATTCAGGCAGCTAGCTGCAAGCATCATTGCCTGTGTAGGAAACTGCTCTGAGAGAACAGGGAGCTCCAGGAATTGGCCTCAAAGAAACCTTGTTACCATGGCAAGACTGTTCATTTCTGGTTTCACAAGTCAGGATTTGATTATAGTTGGTCTAACATTCCAAAAATCCTGTACCATTGAGTGTGTAATAAGGGGAAGGACAACTCTTTTCACGGTCAGAAATAGCTTTAAGCCACACAAAGAGGATGAGTGAACCAGACAAAAATTATTTATGTTTGGATACAAATGTTTGCCGGTGATCAGCCACACCCTATCAGTTCAGTGTAATGCAAGCTGGAAGCAAAGCACTTTTGTTAAGGAAGAAACGTTGCTTCAAAAAGCAACACAAGGCCTTCAGTTGTCTTTGGGGACCACGTGAACACAGGCACTGAAGGTGATGGGGTTTTTTTGCCCTGTGAAAAGTACTTTTTCCCCCCACTTTAACGGAGACCAACCATGCAGCAACATTTGATATTTCTAATGCTGCTCAGATAGTCTTTTCCTTCATGCAGTCACAATTCATCCTGAAATTCAACTGTTTTCTAAATCATTTATCCATCAGTGGAAATAGAATTCCCTACCAAAAAGTGGCCATATGGCATTTTTTCATAGATCCTGACAATTATGTTCAACAATAAACTGGTTTTAAAGAAGTGACCTCTTGTGGTCATGAGTATAAACTGCTCATGAAGTGTGACAGGGCATCTGTGTGGATTATAAAAGGAATATTTTAGCTCAAGTGCTTTGGATTTATAACCTAATGAGGGGGATTTGTATGCCTAAACACAACCAGGAATTAAGAATGTTTTGTTCGGATGTGTTTTGTTTGCCGTTGCCCTGGTTGCCCTGTATCCAGGGAAACGATAAAAACAGCTGTTTATGTTGCAGAAACCCCTTTTTTTGGCTTCATAATTACTGTACTACTACCAAAATAATATTGTAACAAAAGCCGAGTGACAAATGTCATTAATGACAATCGTTATTATCATTAAATACAAGCTGCTCAGTTGCTCAAGGCAATACCGATAATACACCCATATTACTGAGATTTAAATATTCTTTCGTTTTAAACAGGTTGTATTTTCTTGGATCTTCTCGCGTGGGATCTTTGCCTTGTGAATAAGGTCTTTATCATGCTAAGACACTCTCCGTCTGCCATTTGTCTGGGGACTACCGAATGAGTCATTTTGTCTGGCAGTATTTTGTTAGGTGCGCACGCTCTCATGGCGCTATGTATAACTGTCATATCAACATCTTTAGCCCTTCCTCAAATAATGTGTCATCACACTCCCACCTCTGAGGCAAACAAACTTAGCTTGGTCCTACTTAGCAATTTCAGAACAAGTACCATGGTCATACAAGATGGAAATGAGAGGCTTACTGTGTTTTGTAGTAGTCTCAAGCTTCTGTATCACTTATCTCACTTTTGACTTTGTGAGATTCTTCTTTGGAGCAGAGTTGCAAAATGTGTGTGTGTGTTTTCAAGGTAAAGTCTTTATTTTTTACTTTGTGGAGTTAAGATGTGGAAGTTTCTATGTGTGTGTGTGTATGTGTGTGTTTCTCCTAGCTTTATTGCAGAAAGAAATATATAATTGTCACCTTGAATGTTACCTAAAGTGGTGTGCGAAAAAATGGTGTGCATGCTCTAAATTAACTTGATCTATCTAGGACTGGATTTTGGATTTATTGCTATACTTCACAGTATAGAAATATTTGGCTTTATTTGCTTTACAGACAATGGTTTTCTGAACATAAAATAAACTAGCTTTGCAGGGATTCTGTATCAAACGTCTGTTTAATGCTGTTGTACGGTACATGGAGGTAATTTTAGAGCAAATATCATTGGAAGATGTTATCAAAAGTCATTGAGGATACTTTGAGAGTCCATTTGTTGTTTCTAAATGTTCTCTGTAACACAGAGTTATTCCAACCAGGAATCAAAATCAACCACATTCATCCGTCACCAAGTATGTTTTCACAAAAAATCTGAACTGTAGTCCATCTTTTTGGGCATTTTTAGTCCCTTTCATGCAGGCATTTTAAATCCCATAGTTTTCCAGTTATGATGTTAGTGACACTCTCAGCCTTTCATTCAGTATTCACCAGTCGTACCCAGCAGTTTCTCCCTGTTCAAGAGCCTTATAAGAAACTTTATAACTGTCTTGTTTTATGTGACTTGCATTATTATGATGATATATCAAATGATCACTTGGAAAAGGAGAGCTGTGAAGCTCACTGCCTGTGCCAACAAACATGTAAACAATAAATTCGGTTGGGTAGCAGCTGGGTGAGCATTCGAAGGGAACTGTTGGTGATGACCTAGTTTAACAGCTCCTTGGCTTTGACGCTCGGCGCCTTCTCTGAGCTGCAGGAGCTTCAGTCATAATGCAGTGATGTCATGATGTCAGCATGCAAGCAGAGGATCTACTGCTACACGTCGGGATCATTTGGCTGCATGACAGCTGGACCGTCCTTTTGTCATATATGAATTAAATTGCACAAATTCTGTGGTTACATGCAACTGGAGCAAGATCAGCTAGTTATTGGGCTGTTTAACCACTGTCTTAAGGATATAGAGGCTGTGAGAGCACAAAGTGAGAAACAACCAGACCCAATTGTTCGGCTCTCATATCCAAAACAAACATCCCAATAGCTTCATATATAAGAGGTCAACTGAGATTAATCGTAAATGCAATAAATCTGCAACGCATACTAATCATAACACCATTCTACACAAACTTAATGTCAGTCAACCTCTATGTATATCTTCAAAGTGAGTAGCATTATAATTCCATTCAGAGGGATTCACTCACCGTCTTGGAGTTCTACACAAGATAAATTAAAAGAAATATATATACAAAATGAAAACAATAAAAAATGACAAAACAGCAAAGGATATCTCTATCTCTACATATGAGACATGAAAATAAGTCTGGAATTAACTTCTATTAGAATATGAGGCTTCATAAAAGATGAATAAAAGCTTCAGGTTTGTGCATCAGAAGGAGGGGATTTTAGTGGATAAAACGCAAAATGCAATCAACAACGGAAAAGAAGGTGCAATGATAAAAACAAATTTGCAGAGGTACATTTGGACAGATGCCAACTGAAAAATAAATCAATGGTATTGTTTAGTGTTGCATGCTTCATTTTATATTTACGTTTGTCAGTGTTTGAAAGAGATTTTTCAAAGGAATTTCATAAATAAGGAATGCTTGAGAACCATCTTCATCCACATCATCTGTTAAACTTGAGGTTGAAAACGTAAATATACAGATATTTAAAGTAATATAAAACGTTAAAAGAAACTTTGTGTGCATTTAAGATAGTTGGAAACATGCTTGTTGAGCATTGTTTCGTAAAACCAAAAACTAAGGCTAATGCATTAATTGTGTTCCTTTGTAGATAAGAAGCACTTAATTTACCTAGATCATCATCCTCTGTGGAGCCGAGTATCACACAAATGAACAATATGAAAAAAATCAAAAGTTACTGGACTGGCTTAAATAGAATTCTACCCTCAGGCAATCTAATTAATATTTAAAGAGTCTGTTCTACTTCATGGAGCCTTTTTTCCGATTTTCCTCTGGGCATTGAACACATCAAAACAATTGAAGAAGACAAGCTGAAATGTTGCAATAGCTGTTTAGATACCTGTGCAGTTTCGTGCGTAATTCAAGTTCTCTAGAGGGTGTCCGGGAAGGCGGCACTGAAACCGGTACTGCCAGAACTCAGGGAACCATGGGTTGCGCTTGTTGGTACTGAGCTTCAGTTTCAGGAAGTAATTGTCAAAGGAGGAGACATCTTCAGAGTGCAGCTTCACAGTGATGCCACCCACAGCCTCGTGTTCATAGCCCTCCACCACCTCAACTCGGTCTGCCCAGCCATCACTGTAAAGGAGAGCACAGTGCTGTTCAACAAACACTAGCACAAATAAAATGATGTCATTTTACACGGCTCTGGAAGATTCTACAATCAAAACATTATGCCGGGACGTGTGAGGGTGCCACCATTGGGTATATAAGGAATATTCACCAAAAAAATTGAATTTCTGAGCTTCTTCATCAACCTCCATCAGATAATCAATGACAAGTAACGAAAGATTGCAAAATTCCCATAAAAGCCACTGGCAGAAACCACTACTATATGTATGTGACTCTCAAACTCTCTGGTGGTACTAGAGATATTTCATACCAACAGCATCATTGTAGAAACATCGGTTTTGGAATACTTGAAAATTAAATATCTAGAAGATGCTTTTATCCAAAGTACATGTAAAGAATCAGGCTACAGATCCATTTAAGCAACACAGTGTTGTGTCTTGACCAGTGAGACCTCGACATGTAGCTTGAAACTGAATCACCAAACTTTCCAGAGGCAAGTGAGATCAGCTATCAGCAGAAATCACAACATAATAAACATAATAAATTATCTTAATAACTGACTCATATGCCATTGGCAGCAAAATAAGAAAAATACACTTTCATGATCGTCTAAAAAGTAGTGAAATAGTCTTGCAGACAAGAATGAAGCCAAGAATGAATTCCCCTTTGTTTCCCTGACTGTTTCCCCTTTTAGCCCCCTACAGAGGAGCATTGAGTCCTCACTGTACTTGCTGAAAGCAAGATGAAAGAAAGAAAAACGTATACGTCGACTGGCACAATCACAAGTCCAGTGAGACTTCTCAGATTAGTACAGTAGCTGTGCGGTTTGCCCTGGAGAAATGTTGTGTTCCCACCCAACTCACAGACTCGGAGTCTAAGGGGGATTTTTGTGTACACATTTCATGTTTTTTTAAAATGCATGTACAGCTAATTATAGCACATAATTTGTAAAAGACAGTTCCACTATTAATCCTCATCCAGCGGATTAAGCTGATGATGAAAATATATATATATATATTTTTTTTTTAATGCTCAATCTTTAAATTATGCCAAAACAATCTGCTTTCATTAGGTATGTATATGCATTTGTGCCGAGTTTTACTATGCAGCAGGGGTTCATTTCTGTTTTACAATGTGACATACAATACCTCCTACGATATAGGTAAACTGATAGGTAAGATGATCAGTTATAACAGCAAATTCTGACTGTGACTTAAAATAAAAGCAGCTCCTCCAAATGTGGGAACTTGTGCAAAATGCGCATATTTTTGTATTATTGGAGAGTGTAATAAGATAAGCCAGAAGACTGCAGTGAAAATGAGTTGCATCCACATCATTTGCGAGACCTGGAAAGTGCCTACAGAGAGCTAGACAAGCAGAAGATGTTAGCATGTATTTCTGTTACATATCCAACGTGTGACATTGCTTTAAAAAAGACTGCATCAAAGTGCAAGGAGTGTATGTGTCAAATAGATTTTGTCTTGTGACCACAAGAACAAATGTAGGCCATTTCGTTGTTAACACTTGAATGTCACACATATTGCAGTTTGTCCATGAGACAAAAATATCACTTAGGCCTTAGTATTCCACATTTGGGGTTTGAATTTGAAGCCAGCGCCATGTTCGACTTGGCAGCCTTTTCAAGAATGGCTTAACAATGGCTGTCCAGTGTGACAGTGTCCACAGTACCTGACCATCTGCTTCGCAGCATCACACTACCCCCAATCCAACACTCCGAGTGCCAAAACCCAACAGCTCTGACGTCAACACATGCATGTAGTGTGTAGTTTTGTTGCACAGATCAGAGATGGCACATTTATGAATCCTGTAGTTTCAGGCAAGGACAAAAGCGCAAGGAAAACTATTATGTAAAATGGAATTAAGATTTTATGAGGCCATTTATGATGGGGGAAATCTACTTCAAAGAAGATTTAGAGTCAAGCAGGGGAATGAAAAACTGAGATGAATTCCCTGAGCAAGTGAGAACTTTGTTTTATAGTCGACTGAAGTTGTTTGTTGTTGGTGTGGGAATAGCCACCCCTTTCATTCTCCACACTACAGAAGATGGATGGCTGATGACCAACACCTCCAGGCTTTTCAGCTGGCCCGTTGCACAGGCCTGCATGTGTTCGCTTACTGCATTGCTCTATAAAACGTTTTCCTTTTTCAGTAGTCTCCTTGACCCAGAAAAAACACGCACACACACTTTTCTATTGTATACCCTCTTTATCCTCCATGCAAACTTTAGCAACTCTGCTAAATTAAAGGGACTATGTGACAGAAAGTTTAGGCTTTGAAATGCCATGCTTTAAAAAATATTCAGAGACTGCACTGATTCCAATAGGACTTCACAACCAATTAACCATCCTAAATAGAGAAACCATATATTAGATAAAATAAAGTACTTAATTTATCTCAGAAATGAAAAAGTATTGATAAATCTATCTTCAATGATGGCATAGTCTTGGCTGATGTAACGGCCACCAGCAGAACCAGCAGTTAACTGAGAGTCTGCAAAGTGAGAATGTCTGGTGTGTGTGCTTATGTGGGCTTTGATGTTCACTACTCCAGATTCCCCAGCTTATGCTAGAGGTGCTGTCCCATATTAGCCCATGTTGCCTGTGATCTGACAGGGAGTGGGGAGAGCTTGCCTCATGGATGCATTATTCATTACTGAGCCTGGCTCAAAGCTTCTTCTGCTTTCAGTGGAATTCTGCGCCTTCTGGGAAAAGAGGAGCATTTCTGGTACTTGTGATCTTTTGTGTGTGCTGTCCATCTTGAGAAATGTTGAATGCTATCAAATACAGTTTGGTGGTAATTAGAGTATTTTTTTTTCAGTGTTGACATTAAAAGTAATAGCAACATGATAAATTGGAATGGTCCAGCAAAAGCTGCAATTGGTCCTTGTGGATTATATGCTCCCAAATTAATGCCAACACATCACCAGATTTATGAAAATGCTGTTTTAAAAAACATAATACCAGAGCGGCCTTCAGTGATCAAAAGCTAGATTTTAGTCAGCCCCAAATTAAATGAGATTTTATTCAAATCCAAATGTGTGATGAAAGATTTATGTGAGTATGTAGCTCATAAGAAATCCATCATTAGGGGGCTCACTGGATTTCACAGCCATCTACAAACCTGCGGGTAAAAATCCGCAATAAGACCGAAAAAAATCTTGTCCCAGAACTTTTTGACTGAAAAACAAAAACAACCAGTTTGTCCGGAAAACCTGGAGGCCTTGTGGGAAAAACACTGACGAACAAACCTGCCAATTAGGAGGAATTCTCCAGCTACTCCGAGCCGCCTCATGGCCATGAGCAGCCCTCGGACTGTCATCCCTTCACAGAAGCAGACAACCACTCTGGCTTTTGGCAGACGCTCCCTCAGTTTTCTGAGCAGCCGGTCGAAGTGCTTCTCCCCGGCGTTGCTGTAGATCTTGTCAGAGTGAGCGATGCAGAGGCCGTCCTGGGAGGCCAGCTCTTTGAACACTTCCATCCCGCTTTCCCCATAGTTACCTGAGGGAGACAAGAGGAGTTGTCGAAATAGGTTGTAAAAATGAAAAGATCAACGTGCTTTCATGCAGAGCATAATATTTCTAGTTTGGGGAAGTGGGGTTGAAGTGACTTGTGTCCTGGTGGGTTAGGAAAGCAAAAAAAAAAAGGTGAATCAGAAGGCATACACTCAAAAACACAATAGACTGGTTTGACTGGAATCTATCTGCCTCAAAATGCCAAATACAGACTATTATCTTCTTGCCAGAATGATAAACAGATCTTGCCAGGCTTTTGTTTTGATATTTATCAACTCCTCTACGCTTGTATTCTATCAGCAAAAATTGATACATCTTAACTAATGTCTGTGGGAGGAATTCCAATCAATATAATCTCTCTGTGACTGATTCTCTTGCGAATTCTAGTTTCTGTTTAACATTTTTCTGAACTGATAAGAGAGAAGGGAGTAAACTGATCTAAAAATACCATAAGACTGATCAGATCAACCTCTGAAGCCTCATCAGTATGTCATTTATCTATTTAGTTCATTTCTCAAATGTTAAGACTCAGAATTTAATTATCTGTCTGCGCCTAAAGCTTATTTCTGATAAATACAGGGGGGAAAAAGCCAGGCGATGCAGAATTTAAAGCTCTATAAATAGTCTGAGTCCTCAACTATTGCCCTGATATTCTGAGGCCTTGAGCTCTCTGAGCACCGAAAACTGAAATAAAACTCGCTACGTGACCAAAGTTAGAGGGAAATGGCAAAGCACTTTCAGGTAGTTGTATTTTCAGTCTGGAATGTAATTAAGAAAAGCGAGTTGATGAAAATGGTGAAGGTCAATCTGAGGTCTGAAGGAATAAGTACATGTTCAGGGAAGACTGCTCAAAGGACTGTTAGAAAGGCGTATGGAAAAGACTGTTTTACTGTACTGGTGATGACGCATTTTACAGAATCACTTCCATGGTGCGGCCACTGGAGGGAATACATAATATCTGCTATTAGGACAAGCTCTATAAATTTGAGAGGGAGGTTCTCTGCTCCGAAAAGGTTAAGGAAAATTTGTTCTGCAGTGAGCTAAGATAAAGGAAGGATGGGTGTTGATCCATGTGCTGAAGTCATTTGCGCTGCGAATGTTTTACTGGCTGATGGGAGAATCATTAAATATCAGCTCATTTAGGACTCAGACAACAGCACAGCTAATAAGACTCCCAGCAGCAATACAAAGGATAAAAAAGAAACCCTATTTTAACCTAAAAAGTGCACAGAGAGCTCGGTCTTTTCGTTTTTGCCTTTGAAAGTGCCCTCTGCTGAAATCTGCATCAAAATGATGTGTTTTGAAAAACAAAGGCCTGACTTCTGATTGCAGCTTTCTGCCATTACAGGAGCTCTCCACATAAGTCATCAGTTCGATCAAAACTAAGCAGTCACTGCAGTAGAGAGCAACAATCCTGACTGAATCAGGCTCATCTTCTACTCTGGAGGTGTTCCCTTCGTCTTTGGCCTCATGTCATTCCTGATGAAGAACTTGACAGTGAGGGGAGAAGGCTGAATCCTGACACATGTTTATTCTAAAGACATGTTCATCAATTTGATATGCACCCGTGTCTCCTGCACACATCTTTGTCTTTACGGCTGTTGGTTTGCCACTCAAACAATATAGGTCTTCAAACCCAAAGAGATAAACCAGGAATTGAGGAGGCACTCTCAGCAGCTGATTGGTACAGGTAGCGAAAAGACAGAACATCTTAGACAATGCAGTCAACATTTTTATGTCGTTTTTTTTCCTGACTAGTGTGAGTTGCCCAATGATGCGTAAATGTAAAACTTCTGTGAGGAAATGAGGAAAGGTGTCTTACCCTCTGTGTGGACTGCAGACACGTAGGTCCAATTGTAGCGTTTGACAATTTCCAACAGAGCTCTGGCTTGAAGAGTGTCTGAGGGCACGACCCTCAGGAAGTACTTAAACAAAGTCTTGTCGCTAAGGTCGATGCTTGTTGCGGAGTAGGCGATCTGAGGGATGTTGAATAGCTGGAGGAGGTTTTGGACCTGGATTGCGACAGAGCTGGAGCCAGGACCGATGACTCCCGCGATGGGCTTCTTGGTTGATGGTGGCTGACTGGAGGGAACCCCTTCAATGCACCACTTGGAGCCATCCGAGTCATCCCGGATGGAGATGAGAGAGTCTCGGATGAACTCAATGCTCTGCTCCAAAGCCACCGAGGAGTGCCAGCAAGAGTCCCTGATCTCACAGCCCAGGGTTATGTTAGGGAGCAGGTTGGGGTCTGAGTTAATCCGATCCAGGGCGTGGAACATGGCCTCCACTCTCTGGATACCGTACTGCTCGCGGACTTCTCCACATTTCCTCTCTGCGACCTTCTCAGCTGATGGTTGGTGGTGAACAGAAAACAGGGCACCAATTATAACATCCCCATCCATCCTGGCGACCAGGCGAGTGGCAGAACTCGGGACAACTGACCTTTCATATTTCCCATTGGAGAAAACAAATGCCTCGAAGAGTAAAACGGGCAAACACAAAATGCTTATCACGCTCGGATAAATCATATTTGACATTGTAGCGCTGGTGCTGAAATGCAGATCATGTCCTTTTGGCCATAGTAGAGGTCCATAAATCATGTATGGTTAGAATTGTCAAAATGAAGTCAGATGCTTATCCTTTAGTGTTTTCACCCTGTGTGTGAGACATGGAACATTAATACTTACATTTCATTAGGTACACTAACTTTTAAACGCATGCTAGTAAAAGAAAAGAAACATGCAAATGTAAGTTGTCTTGCTGATAAGTGAAATATTGCCCAAATGGGGGAGAGTAAACAAATAAATAATAGGCTGAACAGATCCAATATGCCCATCAGGACAGTTGGAAGTAAACTCGAAAATAGGGAAAGAATACAAGTTTAAGCACCACGGACAGCTGCCGACAGCTGATTCTCGATCTGTCACCTCAACTTTTACACAAACAACGGGCACAAAATATTCGTGCAATACATCTTCCCCCATATGACAGCCGACTCAATCGCATTTGGATTTTACAGTAGAAAACAAGATTCAACCCTGTTGATTCCACATGCAAATCACACATGTATAGTGTGAAGATCAGCTGACAGAAATGCCCAAACAAACGTCCAGTTTTAGGAGAGGGGTTGACTTTGTAGTGCCTTTATGTCCAAAGAGCCATGTTCTGAAGAATAAAAGCCATAAGTTTGCCTACCTGGATCAGACAGTCAGTGTGTTTGTGGGTCTGCGTCTCGTCTTGACCAGCCGCACCGCACGACAGCGATTCTACCGAGGAGAGACGAGGGGGAACTGGCTCTCTCTCTCTATTTTTCCTTTCCTCTATCTGCACTGATCATGAGATGCCCCCTTCTTCTCCACTTCCTCACTGCACCTTGAAAGCGGGTCAGACTCACTGCAGTGTCCCTGATATGAAACCACAGTTCATATACGTCAGGGTGCAGTGACGCATTGGTAAATTATATTTAGGGGGCGAAATATTAAGCAGTTCTTTGGAAGAAAAAAAAAGGGCCCGTGGGAAATGGATTGGTCACTGAACAAATAAAACGAAATGGCTCCCCCAATGCAATATGAACTTAGGAAAAGTTTCCCCAAATGATAACTGCAAAGGGGTTCGTTAAGTTTATCATGATTTCTCCCCCATTTGTGATGTTGGGCTCAGATATGTGGTGCAGCTGAAGTTCACTGCTGCAGATTCCGCCCTCTGCTGCCACCTTGTGGTCGTCATATAAAATAGCACTATTAAGCCGCCAATAATAAAAATAAAATTCAAAATACCGATTCAATCTAAATTACATTACCACAAATACAAGACAGTTAAAATAAGAGTAATTACTTGAATACTTACCAAGTAAAAGTAAGAAATATTCTTATGAATTAGTTTTTGAAAATTTGCAATGAAATTCTCGGAGTGGTTGAATAATGTGCTCATAAACAAAGAACACTGGGCAGTAAATTATTAATTAATTATTTTCAAATCCGCGAATGAAAAAAGGTATTGAGTCAATTAAAATGGATCAAATCTGTTATTTGTTCCATAAATGCCAAACGTTTACTGAGTCTTTAAGTGACGCTGGGCTGTTCCGTGACATCACTTCCTGCATTTAAAAATGGCGGACATAAACATTTCTGTGTTATGGTTCTATCCAGTGTGCTTCTTAAGAGCTGCATCAACATGAAACGGCTTTCCAGACAGTGATTAAAGCCAGAGGGGCTTGTGAAAGGCTCTCAAAGTAAATATGCTGCTTTTAGTTATTTTTCAAAAGTTTTTTTTGTGTCAAACAATGAAATATGCAGCGTTGTCTGAAAGTCTCATAATGTCACCGCGTTCATAGACTGTAGCGCGGCTTCTTTTTCCACCAAGTAAAACAATTTCATTGAAAGAATAGAGCGGATATGAAAACATTCATTTGTGAGCCAGTTTATATATAATTAAGCAATACTCCTGCCGTAGCAATGAATATTATCTGACCGAAGACAACGGTGATACTGAACGGGTTTTACTCTCTATACTGTCATATACTTTTAACCTGCTGCTGTAAGGCTTATTTGCTGTGTCAGGAATTATTTATAATATTTAAAATTGTATGATATAATACATCTAAAAAATGTCGTTTTGGTTTATATCTTTGATACAATGGTATGCGGGGGTCACTTGAGTAAGCCCAAATCCTAACTGTTCTGAAACGCAACATCAGTTTTGCACAGCGCTGCTGGATCAGCTGCAGGGGTCATTCTGTATTTACCTCAGCTTTGTTGACCTGTAGCTCTTCATTTCAGCCGCCATTAATATGTGTTAAATGAAGACTTAATTCATTTGTTTTGTCTTAGCAACACTCTGTTCTGTAGAATAGCTATTGTTTTGTTATGAAACGTGTTAGTGTGTATTAAGAACACATTGTCTGTCTGTACAAAGAGGACGTTATCATGTGTTAACATATCCAAACTTTCGGTCTCTATCTAGGTCGTCAGCATGAGTAGTCGGAGAAAGAGGGCCCCCCCTGTGAGGGTGGATGAAGAAGCAAAGAGGAAGCTGGAATGGAACATGTTGGATGACCGCAAGAACGAGGTGATCCAGGAAGATGACCAGACACCGTCCTGCTCTATTCTGTCAGCAGACCCCCTTCCTAGCAGCACTTTTCTGTCCACCACAGAGGACATCACAGAGGCTGCCCACTCCCGCTCTGTCCAGTTTTCAGAGGAACTTCCCGGTACCTCTTTAGACGTCTCCTCTGCCTCAGCCTCTCTGACGCTGACTGTGTTGCCCTCTTTGAAACAGGGGCACCTCTGGAAGGCTCTCATAGGGGAGTTCAGCCTCCGGCCTTCTTGGTTCTCAGCTGACTATGAGCAGAGAGTTTTCACGCTCCACAGGATGGGTGAGCAGCTCTGTGTTAGTTACAGCAGCTGCGATGAGAGCTCTGGACTGCCATGGAGGCCCGATGAGGACAGTTGTACCGCAGAGTGCAGCCTCAGTAGGATCCCCCTGGAGGACCTGGACTGGCTGCAGAAGAGGAGGGTGGTGCAGCTCTTTCACCAGTCAAAAGAGAACACAGTCAAGGTATAGAATATCTATCTTGAAGAAACTATGTAAAGATAGATTATAGATGTAGAAAATTAGCAATGAAATATAATAATTCCATTCTACGTTTGAAAGTTTTTGGTACATGTGTAGAGAACAATGAGACCTTAGACTCAATCAAATGACCAAACATTCAAAGAAATATCCAAATGTTTGAGGACTAGTTAATCTAATGTGTCCAAACATAGAAAAAGAAAAGCTTTTTGTGTGTTGCTCAATTTGGCAGGTGGGGATTTACCTCCTGGAAACAGGGCTTGGAAAACCTGAGTTCCTCAGCGAGGGAAATGCTCGTCTGAAGAAAGCTAATCAGCTCATGCAGAAATTAATGGAATATTTTTACGATTTCATCATTCCTGGTAGGTGTCGATACCAAGGCAGCTCCACACTTTAAAGTAGAATGAGGCTTTGCACAGTTATAATCATTGGCAGTGCTCATCCCATTTTGCTTTTGTGTTACAAAAATGATTCCACTGTCATTGTCCTTGTAGAAGTTGTAGAGAATGAGGAGGAAGAATGTGACACTGACCTGGAGAGGCAAAACGTGGAGGAGCTGTATGATTACGTAAGACATCTGCACCAGAAAGAGAACCAGAAGATGACCTTTGATGTCCAGCACAAGGCTCTTATTCCCGTTCTTAGGCCCTATCAGAGCCAGGCCGTCAACTGGATGCTGAGGAGGGAAAAATACAGGAACAATGCGCCTAAAGGTACTGGTGAAAACTGCAATTGTGAATGATGGTTATTCGTCATGTTTAAAACTTAACATTTCCAAATCAATCTAATTGTCTACTAGTGGAGGCTCTGATGATCATGTTGGTAAAGCTGTAATACAAACAGTATTTACTCTCTACTTGCAGATCAGTCACTACATTTCCTCTGGCGGGAGCTGATTACTCTTTGTGGCAAAAAGTTGTTCTACAACCCTTTTATTGGCTGGTAAGAGCTCAAGTAATCTCCTCATATCTCTCACTAGTTGCATAAATCTCCCACAGTAAATATATGAAACAGATTTAAAGGAAATTTGTTTTGTGTGCATAATCTAGCCTCAAGTAACTGTCATCTCAAAAACTCCAGAAAACACAACACTGGCATTTCAACTAGAAGTTGTGTTTGAAATCACCATCAGATGAATAAAACTATTGGAACTTATCTGACCTCTCTGTTTATTATAGCACAGCAAAGCTAAAGGACCAACCTTGACATTTGCACAAGAACAGCTTTCATTAATATTGTTCCATTCATCAATACAACTTCAATAGTCTCTCTGTCTGTTTGGTGTGGTAGTTAGGTTCGGGGAACCAAGGTTCTGTTAACTTATCTGTTACTGATGTATAAAAAGGGTTCTAGTAAACTACTGGTCTTAAAGGTGGCGGCAGCCACAGAGGAGCAAAGCGGAAGAGTGAGTGGTTTATTCCATTTGCAGAGTTGTTGATACATACTACCACCATAACACTGTTGTGTGTGCAGGCATTCACATTATCAATAGGCTGACCCATATAGATTACTATGTAATTTTGTGCTATACAAGACTTATGTGTATTTCAATTTTTTTTTTCATCAGTTTAATTAGAGAATTTCCTCTGGCTGGTGTTGAGTGGCCTGGAGGGATCCTCGCGGATGAGATGGGGCTGGGAAAGACTGTGGAAGTTCTGGCACTCATTCTATTTCACACCCGGCAGAACCTGGAGCACGAAGCCCTCACTCTGCCTGTGGTGAGGACCACTTCTATTTTGAATATAAGCCTTTTCTGTCCCTCCTTTACATACCTTCTTTATGGACTAGTTCCTATTCTAATGCATGCCCTCTGAATACTTTGTATGAAGCAATATCTGAGGTATATGATTTTTTTCTTGGTCTAACAGGGAAAGTCTGTAAATTTCTTCATTCCTCCACCACCCCTGGAAAGAAAGAAAGCTATACACTGCAAATCTGAAGTTCAACCCAAAATGAAAATATCCTACCCAGGTATGTCAGTCGCGGTCTTCTCAATCAGCCCTCATAAGCGATTCAAATTTGATTTGACATTTTTCAAATGCCTGTTTTTCCCCAGCTGTCCGCGTCATGCTGCTTACTGCCATAAAGGAGATGCGGTCCGGCAAAGGAGCCTCAGTGAATGCTGTGTTCACCTACATCCGAGCTACTTATGGTTACGACCTGTTGAAGAATCGCACTCACATCAAGAAGACCCTGGCAAAACTTATAGATGAGGGCATGGTTGACCGGGTCAAGGGCCGCGGCTTGGCAGGATCCTTCAAGCTGGGAAAGAACTACAAAGAAACAAAGAAAACAGAAACAGGAGCATCCAAGTCTGTAAGAATAAAGACTTTCAAATGCAAATGTTTTATGCTACAGGTAAGTCTTTGCTGTCTTCTGTGAGCTTGATATGCATTTCTCTTTGTCAGAACTCCAAGAGCATAGAAAGCATACCGAGGAAATCCTTTCAGAGACGAGCAAAGAAGAAGGCGGAAGCAGCTTTGCAGAACTCTCTGTCAGACGATCAAAGAGACCCGAGTCCAACATCTGACTGTCCTGTAGCAGAAGAAATAGAAACAAAAGACTGCAGTGAAAGTCAGAACGAGAAAGAAGATCGACCAGGTGACATGCTGGCTACTTCTGCTGTATCAGTAAAAATGTCTGAAGGTAAAAGCGGCGCAGAGACACGGGACAGTTCCAAAATGGACGATCGACCTGGGGAAATTGAAGGAGCCCCACTGCTCCATTCACAGGAGGAGACAGAAACCCCCACCAGAGCATCAGTCGTCCCCTTTAACACCCCAGATTACCGCTTTGAGTGTATCTGTGGGGAACTGGGCATCATTGATTACAAAGCCCGCGTGCAGTGTATGAACTGTCAGCTCTGGCAACACGCAGACTGTGTAAACTACAAAGAGGAGAATCTTAAAACTACACCTTTCTACTGCCCTCACTGCCTGGTAGCCATGAAACCGGTGTCAACTGGTGCTACGCTCATCATTTCTCCGAGCTCCATCTGCCACCAGTGGGTGGAGGAGATCAACCGGCACATCAGGTCCTCCTCCTTACGGGTTCTGGTGAGAGAAGAGGTCTTTTTTTTTTAGTAGCAACATCATGGTGTTTGTTGTAAGTGGCTAAATTAGCTCACTTTGAGCGTCATTAATACATCTTCCTCTTCTCAGGTGTACCAGGGTGTGAAGAAACATGGATTCATCCAGCCACATGTGCTCGCTGAGCAGGATGTGGTCATCACCACGTACGACGTGCTCCGCTCTGAGCTCAACTACGTCGACATTCCCCACAGCAACAGCAAAGACGGACGCCGCTTCCGCAACCAGAAGCGCTACATGGCCATACCCAGTCCTCTGGTGGCCGTGGAGTGGTGGCGCATCTGTCTGGACGAGGCTCAGATGGTTGAATGTCCCACCGCGAAGGTGAGCTGGAGGAAATCCAATTCTTATGCTGCATTTGGGATTTTCTCTTTGTTTTCCCCCAGTGTTTGTCATGACTGTTTGTAATTCCGTCGCCTATTTGTGCATTCAGGCTGCAGAAATGGCTCTACGTCTCGCCTCTGTCAACCGTTGGTGTGTCAGTGGCACTCCTGTTCAAAGAGGTTTAGAAGGTAAACCAAAACCAAACAAATAAAATAGAGCAAGCCATCGGTCAGATAGGCCTTGTGGGCTTCCCTGTTTAAGCTTTCCAATGTTCTGACAATAATTAAGATCTTCAAATGTTAACAAGAAAATATAATATAGAAAAACCACAAAACATGTTCCATGCTAAACTGATTCTTGCTTTTTCCTTTTAATTTATATTTGTACTTTTGTTTTCTAGATCTGTATGGCCTTGTACTTTTTCTTGGAGTTGACCCATACTGGGTAAAGCATTGGTGGGACCAGCTGCTTTATCGGCCCTATCGACGTGGAAACTCTGAGCCTCTGTACAGTGTAATTGCCCAGATATTATGGCGATCTGCCAAAAAAGATGTAATTGACCAGGTAGGATTTTTGAAGCTCTGCCTGTCTGTGATCACTCTTCAATCTGAGTTAGACAAAAAGAAGGCCTTTTTCAAATGTAAATCGAAGAATGTAACGGGGAGACGCTTTGTGTTTTTTCACAGATTCAGATCCCACCTCAGACAGAAGAGGTGCACTGGCTTCACTTTTCCCCCGTGGAAGGTCACTTCTACCACCGGCAGCATGAGGTCTGCTCTCAGGACGCTCTGGTCAAACTCAGGAAGATCTCCGACTGGAGCCTTAAACTGGGCAGCCTCGACCGCCGGACCGTCAACACCATCCTTTATCCTCTGCTGAGGCTGCGACAGGCCTGCTGCCATCCGCAGGCTGTGAGGGGGGAGTTCCTGCCCCTGCAGAAAAGGTAGACACGAGAGGTCCTTTTTCTTCTTCAAAGGCAGCTGAACTGGTTAATTCACAGTCCCACTAGACTAAATGGAGTATCACAGGAATGATGAAGACCCCCGCAACCTTTTTGTCAATAATACAACCTGCGGTTGTGTTTATTTAAACTTGTAATTAGAGTTGGATGATATGTTAAGTGGGCTTGTCGGTGTTTCTCTCCTACCAGCACCATGACAATGGAGGAGCTCCTCAAGTCCCTGCAGAAGAAATGTCGAGTGGAATGTGAAGAAGCTCACAGACAATTGGTGTGCGCTCTCAATGGCCTGGCTGGAATCCACATCATCAGAAGTATAAAACCCTCTTTCTATGCTTGTGATCCCTTTTCTACCAGTTTCCCATGGGAATCAGTTCAAACAAAACGCAAGCCATGATCTCATCTTAGTTTCACAACACTTTTTGAGCCCATACGTTTTGTTGACGCTCGCCTCAGTGAGGCGACGCACATGTTGTCACCATACTTTGGCTATTCACATGGCCCATCTCGCTTACTCTAAATGTCATTGACATAATGAGTCACTCTCGCCTTTCCCACCTGCAGATGAGTTTGTAGAGGCGGCAGAGATGTATAGAGAAGTGCTCCGTTCATCAGAGGAGCACAAAGACCGGCTGAAAACGGATTCATTACAGGTACATGCTTCCATCCTGTTCATCTCTCCTCTTTCAGCTCACAAAAGCCTCCACCGCTGCAGGGAAAGCACAAACTAAAATATTCCTCAGAAAGTTTGTGCTTAATCATACTGAGACCAACATTTCAAAGTGCTAAGACAAAGGTTACATTCACATGTTTGTGCACAGCAATTGTACATCTTTGTGCAAATGCAATAATTTGTTGATTATTTGTGTCTTTTGGTTTCTGTTTGGGTAAAACAGAGGCTTCATGCCACCCACAACTTAATGGAGCTGCTAAATGCAAAGCATCCAGGGATTCCCCCAACCTTGAGAGATCACCGGCTAAGTGAAGAGGTCCTCATTACTTCTGTTCTATGTCTACTACATCTGTTCGGTCTAAACACATGTATTCCTATAATGTGGTTATTTGGTGAGATCAGTCTAGATTACCTTTACGTTTTCGTGTTTTTTGGGGTGGGGTAGGGGGGAAATTGCCCTTATATCACTCTTGTGATCCTCTGGATGTCTGTAGGCTGAGCAGTTGCGACAACACTACATGACCAAATACAACTCTGAGGTGGCGGACGCCCACCAGGGCCTTCAGCCGGTGCTGCAGAACATCAAAGAGCTGAAGCGAAAAGTGAGAACTCCTTTTTTTTTTTTGTAAATGATGTATTATGGTGATGCATCAAGCTTTTGTTTAATTCTGATTAAAATCAGTTATATTTGTTTCAGTAAAAGCTAATAAGATAAATATTTTATATCAGAATGTACTAATAAGTAGGAGGGCAATGACTCTGCTAAGAAATTTTTGCTCGCCACAAAAATTACACAACTTGATTCAACGTGAAGTGAAACTTGACTGTATCTTCAATGATGACCAAGACACAACCTTCCTTGGCCAGGTAAACCTGGATTCTCCCTGGTGGTTGGAGGTGATTCAGAGGGCAATCCGTTGCTCCACGGATGACGATCTGGCCGTCCGCGTCAAGAACGAGCTGACGTGCAGCTACAAACAGCAACCCAACAAGCTCTCTATGGCAGACAAGTAAAGCGTTTCAGCAGAACATGAGGACAGCCAGCAGGGTCAAGCTGAGACCAGCGTGCTCATAACAAATGTGGCTGCCTCCAGGTTCCGTGACGCCTGCGGCCTGCAGTTCCTGCTCACCACGCAAATGCAAGATCTGATGAAATCGCAAAAGACCGTGCAAGACGCGGTGAAGAGCCTCGAGGGCCCGGCCTCAAAAAAAGTGATAGACGAAGCCACCATTTGCCACCTCAGACCAATGCGGCTGCCACTCAACAAGTAAGCCACTAGCATTCTCCTCTGGGTTTTTAACCTTGTCATCATAAAGTTCATCTAACCTTAAACCTTTTAGAACCTCTGCTGATGAATCTCTTATATGTTTTCACTTTGCAGCTGTGTATTTTGCAAAGCAGACGAGCTTTTTACTGATTATGAGTCCAAGCTTTTTGCTCACACGTAAGTAGAGCAGTTTTTGTTTTTTAAACTCGTGTTTCAATCAAATACGTTGATGGTTCAGGTTATTTCTTCTACAGGGTAAAAGGCCAGACAGCCATTTTCGAAGAAATGATCGAGGACGAAGATGGGCTGGTGGATGACCGCCTCCCCACCACCAGCCGTGGGCTGTGGGCGGCCAGTGAGACCGAGCGCACTCTGAAAGCCATCCTGTCTTTTGCCAAAGTCAAACGGATGGACCCAGAGCTGGTGGAGGAGGGAAACACTTTCATGGAGCTGTTTGAAAACTGGAAGAAGGAGTACAAGGTTTGTGAGAGCAAAAACAGGAAGGCAGAAAAAGCAATAAGCATAAGAGATTTTTCTCTGAGTTAAGATGGACTTCAAATGTCATAAAGTTAATTTTAGAGCACTTTCTATTGCTTGTGCATCAGCTTTACCATTTTTTTTTTCTGAATTATGAGGTGAACAGTGTTTGTTTCCTCTCAGGTGCTGCACGAGTACTGGATGGTGCTGCGCAACCATGTGTCAGCCATCGATGAGTTGGGCATGGCCACTGAGAGGCTGCGAGTGAGACTGCCCGATGAGCCAAAACCCAAACTGCTGCACATCATAGAACCGCATGAGGTGAGATAAAGATAGGAACGTCTTTTGTGATGTAAAAGGTACTTGGAGATAGTAATGGTGCGATATCAAGGCTGTTGCAGAAGCATAAGCCCAAGTGTTAAGTCGTTTAAATTGCATTTAGAAGTTATCATGGGAAGGTTTTCATGTTTAGAGACAGCCCCGTCTTGTATTTTGTCGGTCACATGGAGAGATTGTATTCCTGATCTTTGCTTTTGTTTGCTCTGATCTCAGGTGGAACAGAACCGAGTCAAACTCCTGAACGACCAGGCTGTGGCCAAGTCTCAACTCCAAAAGAAGCTCGGACAGTTCCTGTATCTCACAAATCTGGAGAAGGTAAATTTTTAAAGGACATTTAATAATGAGTACTTGAGATGTGCTCATTTAATTTGTTGTGGTTATCTCAGAATGTGGGGTTTAACCCTTAATGTTCTCATCATTGAAGTCTCAGGACAAATCCACTGGAGGGCTGAACCCGGAGCCGTGTCCAATCTGTGCCCGGCCCCTGGGGCAGGAGGTGAGTTTTGATTGTAGGTTCTACAAGTGTTTGATTTAAATGTAACAGTTTTGCTTGTTATCATCTGCACCGTGGAAAGATTGGAGTTTTAAAAGAAAACCTTTAAAGAAACTTCAGATCCCTCTTAATGAATTGTGTCTCCTGGTCAGTGGGAAATTAATTCTGCGTGTAGAATGTCAAACTGGTACTTTTTTTGTCTTCTTTTCACACATCTCGCAGCTGCTTTTGATTTGAGCTGCTTTTTCGCTCCTTTTCTTTTCCAGTGGGCCGTGCTGACTTGTGGCCACTGCTTCTGCAATGAGTGCATTGCCATCATTGTGGAGCAGTACAGCGTGGGTTCCAGGCGGCGTGCCATCAAGTGTGCCATTTGTAGGCAGACTACGTCCCACACAGAGATCTCCTACGTGTTCACCACACAGTCTTCCAGTCAGGACCAAGACATACCAGTAAAGGTCAGCCCCTTTCACATGACACAGGCAGAAAATATGATCTTTTTTATAACAAAGATGCAAATTTCAGGACTATAATTATGTTTCCATTAGCTTTGATATCTTGTTTCCTGTCTCAGGGAAGCCACTCCACCAAAGTGGAAGCAGTAGTGAGAACACTAAAGAGGATACAAGTGACCGACCCAGGTGCCAAGTGTCTTGTCTTCTCCACGGTAACTGAACGAGCTCTGTACGATGGTGCTCTGGTTTTTTGTTGGATCTGACCCACTTGTTTCTCCATCTCGGAACAGTGGCAGAGTGTTCTCGACATCATCGCTAAGGCCTTGTTCGACAACAATCTGGAGTTTTCACAGATCAATGGAATCCACAAATTCCAGGTTTGGCTTTGGTTTAACCATATATGTTAAATTTGGGATTCCATTGTTTTTTCCCACATCCTAGTACTTTAATTGAGTACCTTAGAATTCTTAGAGGACAACTGAACTATTAACCATTATGCTATCATTAACACTCTGAAAAACAGTCTTGGACCGCCTCGGCTGTGGAGACTGATGAAGTGTTAGCATGTCGAAAGTTGTATAGAGTAATTGTGCTTTACTCTTCCAGGAGAATCTGAGTTCTTTCAAGTATGACGAGAAGATAAACATCCTTCTCCTTCCTCTGCACACCGGCTCCAACGGGCTTAATATCATTGAAGCAACACACGTTCTACTAGTGGAGCCAATCCTCAACCCAGCTCATGAGCTTCAAGCAATAGGCAGGGTGCACCGGATCGGACAAACAAAGTGCGTATAGTGTCTTAAATGCCACAATCAGAACTGCAACAAAAAGATTAGGTAACAAGAAAGAAAAGTAAGAAGACTTTTAGAGGATCAGTGTTTTTTTTGGCTTTGCTTATAAATGACTTGAGCTTTGATATGTTTTTTAAAAGCCACGGTGGACTGAAAAAAATAATTAAGTCTTATTGAAATGAATCCTCTAAGCCAAAAGAAACCCAACTGCAAACCCCATACCATCAAACTGCAGTTTGAACTTTGAGCGGTTTTTCTTTACTTTAATGTAAACTCAACACTGCACAACAAAAAATAAATGTTTGAAAAATTTGAAATAATTCAAACTATGGACTGATTTGTGAGCTCAAATCAATGAGAGACCAGTTTGATTTAGCTTGATTTGTGTATTTTGTGTCCACCAGGCCAACATTTGTCCACCGATTCCTAATAAAATCCACTATTGAAGAGAGAATGCAAGCTATGCTGAAGACAGCAGAAAAAAGGTGAGTGCTCTTTGTTTCTAATAAAAAGTTCAATTTTGAAAGATTCAGGCAATCATTTCAAAGCACTGTGTTTTTTGTTTTTTCATTTCAGTCACACCAGCACAGCTATGAAACACTCTGAGGCTGCTGTACTGACAGTGGCCGACCTGGCTGATCTGTTTACTGAAGACTCAGAACCTCTGGAGTGAATCTGAGCAGGAGCCTCTGCATCGGGGGGGTTGTTCAGCTGAGGATAAGCAGCCAAACACTCACGTTTTACACGGGGGGTCAAGGAGGCATTCTTGTTTTGCACATTCCTTTCTTTTTCTTTGTCTGTTTGTTTTTTAACTCAGCATCCAAAAATTATGAAATGCATTTCCAGGAGGGTATTTTAGGAAATTGACATGTGAGAAAATGTTTCGTATCTAGATTTGCAGTCGAATTTGAAATCTTTTTTAGCCAACGTATTTGGATCAGGTTATCCTCGTTATTTACTGAGTCAAGAACTATTGCAACTGTTCAAGCATGGCTTTTTCTCATTTAACTAGATTGCACAAGTCTGTTTGTGTTTGTCTGCAATTGTTATGTGCATTGATAAGATCTTTCATTGTACAACCAAGTGGAGGAAAGTGGGTGTAAAATTTAGAAATCCCACTGAGGGGATCTTAACATATTTAGGAAATAAAACCGTGCCGATGACAGGATATCTGCCTGGTTTTGTCCATTGCTTCAATTTATTATCTTTTTAAATGGGAATCGGAAGGAAACGGTCAGCCTTGATATAAACGCATATTCTACAACAGACAATTTTCTAAACCGGACAATTGTTTTGAAGCTATTTCACTGTTAAGACAACGCAAAGCAGTCGGAGGCACCCATGAAGGATGCCTGTCTCATTTCCAAGTAAAAAAAAGCACAAGACTCAGTCTCCTGGAAACTAATCTTGTAAATGAAACTCATAAATGTTGAGGTTTTCAGACTCATTTCAGCAGTCATCTCCTCTCTATGTATTATTCAGCCTTTCTGGATGGAGTTGGCTCTTTGTCTAATACCATATCTTACTTGATCTTTGATTCAGATATTTCTTATTTTGGATGTATTGAAAATGTTATATTTCTGCTCTTGTACACATTATTCCACGCTATGGTCCGTTCAACCTCACACATACAAACTGCTCCCTTGGATTGTCCTTGACTCGTAATGAGTTTCTTTTCACCTGACCGACCGGGATTCCCGCACCAGTAAAGATTTTAAAGTGCCTGGACAAAAGATGCAGACAACAGAGTTCCAGCCCCTTGCTGCTGCTCCTCTTTGCATGGTTACCAGACGTCCTGTTGCTCCCTGTCGTAAGAGGCGGTTGTAAGGTGTTTACTAAGGGGACATCACCGTTGTAGGCGGTGTCATACATGTTACCTTGGACTCCTCTCAGCACCCCCTATTCATGTGCGGAATCTCATTGTTGTCTGGGGTGGGGAGGGCACATCATTCAAGCTGGTGTTTTAAGGCTGGACGGAGGCTCCCAGTTCATTAGAGCTGTGTTTCATGGGTTAGAGCGTCTTCTGGTGACAGGGAGCTGGGGTGAATAGCGGCCAGAAGATTCAGAGTTCCAGAGAGAGTGGGCCAAAAGCCAGTGGAGTGGTTACGCTACGAGAAGCCATTAGGAGAGTGTTCGGGAAATGGCGTCCGCCTGTGTGGTATTTGCCTGGTTACTCTTCACCATGAGGATGGTCACCTCGGCAGTCTACGTGGAGCATGAAGAGGAGGGTGAGAGTACACCGCACGCAGCGCACATCTGGAGATGTAATGTCAAAGGTCAAACAGCCTGCTTTCGGGCTTTTAGGTATTTAGATTATTGCTGGTTTATCGCCGGTTTTAAAGTTTTTAAATGTCATAAATTATTTCATCTAAGGGATTTTTTTTCTTCCTCTAAAGAAGTTTGGTCATTTTTCCTGAAGTCATGTTCAGATTGCAGTCTTTCTGTAGGTTCTGCATTGTAAGTAAAATAATTAAGTAGTTACACATGTGTGAACAGGCTCAAGTAAGTATGTACCCAAATAGAGCGAACTAGAGTAAACTGCATGTTACCAAAAAAACATTACAACCTGTCTTTGAAAGTAATTAGCTGTATGAGCATGATTCTTTTCACTCTTCCCTCTGTTAGAGCTCAATGAAACAGTTATCTGTACAAACGACCACATGGAAGTTGTTATTCCAAGTGCTTTTTTCCTCAACAAAGCACCTCCAGTTTTTGTAAGTTGGCACAACAACACTCAGCAGTGTTCTCCCTTAAATAACTAAAAAACCAGCACAAAATTCTTATTTTCTGGATAATGATGTCTACTTTTCTCTGTAACTGAATGCTTACTTTAGCTGTGTTTGTTTCAGGTTTGGGACTTGCATTTAAATGATCCAGAGTGTCGTGGAGTTGAAGTCGGAGATGACTACGTTTTCAAGATAAAAACAAACCTCTCGGATTGTGGGACCATAGTGGTATGGCTCTCAATCCTTTTTTAGAGCCTCTTTGGATTTCCCTGCATAGGCTTTTATAGAGGACTCAGGAGTCTAATTAATCAAATGTAGCACGTGAACTCAGACACTTAAAACAACTTAACACAAAGGGAGAGAGACTTCAGCTGTGCTACAAAGACAAACTACTCTTGGTATCCACACTGTAGGTAACATAAAAATCCTCATTCTAATAAATTAGCTATTTTACGATGTCTGATCTTATTGAGGGAACTTTTCCCATAAACAGAGTAGCTTTTTATGAAAATAATGTTTCTTTTTATCTGTGATAATGTAAATGAGGACAGAGGGGCTCTGTGTTCAAGTGGGCAGTATGGAACTGACTCATAGCAAGTACAATAAGATGGAGAGAGAAAGACATATATTCTGAAACACAGGCAGAAAGGAGTGAGGAGAAAAGAGGAGGGGAGTGGCTGTTTGCTTCAAGAAAGAAGGGCAGTGTTGTTCGTCTTTCCTATAACAGCCCAGGGATTCATTCAACCCACCAAGAGGACCCCAAATGGCTCTGCAGCACTAAATTATCAGGATTTACATGGAAATGCTGATTATTTGTTGAAGTTCGCTGAATAGGAAGGCCGTGAATCACTGGCCTCCCGATCATCTTAATCTAGCCACTCTCCTAAACTTTGGTGAAGTTCAAGTCCCTGCTTCAGCACACAAGTGTCCCGAAATTACTTTCTTGGAATGCACAAAGTTTTCCCTTTTTTTGTGCCTTTGTGTTATTGAGTGAGAAACAAAGTGCTGGAGGACCTGGGATGCGTGCAGTGTATCTCAGTCCGAGGGTTTCTAGCACTAAAATGAGCGATTATTGTTACTCTATGACCACAAAAATGGTCTCCCATCTTAGCCCCTCATCATTTGGTTTAAACGCCATCTAATTGGATAATTCACATTAACCACCTATGCAGTATGTCAAAGGACTATGGGCCCTGATTTCCTCTGCCCTGAGGCACATTTTTAAAACCCCTTTTGATTTAATTTTTTTTTTTTTTATAAAAAGCCTATGCAAGGGGGGAAAAAAATTCTGTCAAAAGAATCCCAAATTGCTTGTGGACTAAAGTACCTGCACAGTTAAACACTAACTGTTAAAAGTAAAATTGTAAAGAAAAGACAAAAAGTAAAAATAAGAATGTATGCAGTGATTTGATTAAGACATTTTAACTAATGAGAAATTAGGCTTTGAGGGTCAAGTAATATTTAATGGAATATGTCCTTATTATAAGAGATACGGTTCCCGGTTCAGTTTGAATGGGGAAAAAAAGGTATTGTAACATTTCAAAATCTGAAAATGATCCTAAACTGGCTACTTTACTAAATTATTAATAATTTTTTTCCTGATCTCTCTTTAGACCTCAGATGACACCCACATCATGTTCATAAATACCATACACAATAACTACTCTGATATTATCACAAGAAACTACATCAACATAACGTTTGTGTGCCGCTACCCCATCAATTACATGGTCCAACAACCCAATGGCGAAAACATGATCAGAGTGGATGTCAGGTAAACACTGTCTATTTTGCTTTGTCCCATCCAACAGGGGAACCATTTGGAGTGAACCTGTATCTGTTTTTAATCCCACAGAACTATCACTCTGAACACAGAGGATGGGAATTTCTCAGTGTCGATGCTGCTATACAAAGATGAAGCCTTTGAGGACAGATGGACAACTGTGCCTTCACTTACCCTGGAGGAGAGCATTTTTGTGAAGATTTTCATGGTGATTATTGGGTTTTGTTGTGCTTTTTTTAATTTAAGCTTTCAACCCACATGCCATCTATAAATGAGAGAGATCAGAAGAATTTCTGTTTTAGTAAGAGGGGTATTTATTGAGACTGAAATTGCATATACGGATAATTAGTCAAACCACATAGTTGCCCAACATTAAGCAATGTGTTGTGTGTAAAGATATCCTTACTAATGCTGGTAATCTAACACTCGACCCGTGACTGGAGCCATTCGGGAGTGGCACCATTTCTCCTCCATGTTGTTCAAACCTCTTGTTACACCTGTTGTTTACTTACCATAAATCAGCATTTCATGGTTAGATGTGAACAAGTAGGTATACAATGACTCGACCGCCATTTAACCTGATTTGCCTTGCAGATACCGGCTCACCTGATTCTACGTATGGAGAGATGCTGGGCAACACCGACTAGTGATCCGTACAGCAATATTCAGTACACCTTCATCAGAGACAGGTTTGCCCCAGGAATGCAAAAACAAAAGCAGTTTATGTTGATCATCCTTGGCAGTTTGTCTCCTCTGGTTGTCTCGAGATTGTTTGAAGAGTTTTGTATTTGTGCAGAGTATTTAAAGATCTTGACGCCCGTTTGAAGCCTGCTGAGTGGAAGCATTGCCCTTCAGTTGCAAACAGCTTTAAGCCCTCTTAAAGCAGTGCTGTTGAAATCTGTAATAAGAGAGTTTGTTGCCTGGTGAGCTGACTAGATAACAACTCTCAGAGCCAGGTCATGTGACTCCTGTCTGAGAGGCCACATGCGTTTCAACTCAACAGCTGTGCATGCCCTTGACAACCAAGCAGTATTTGCTACTGTTAGCAACAGCAGGGCAGTGAAATGGACACTGATTTTCCCAGTGCTAGAGAGAAGCTGATCTGTTTATGCTTGTGTTTAATATGCTCCAAATAATGATATTTTGTTTTTGTGTTAGCTTCACTGTTAACCGGATGAGCTCAAACTGATTGTTTTAATGCACTTGAAAAAAGGCTGTATTTCATTCAAGCCACCACACTATCAGTGGGCCACCTTGACATCTCCCCACTCTTCTCTTTTTAGTTGCCCGGTGTTGAACAATGAACAGACACTTGGTGTGCTGAAGAATGGCGAGGGACCAGAAGCAATGTTCAGGATACAAATGTTTAAGTTTGTCGGCAGCTCTTACACCAACGTCTTCCTTCACTGCAATGTCCAGATCTGTCACAACAACCAGGGACTGTGCCAGCCTGTGAGTAAGCTCAGTCAACATACATACCTCAAACTGATAGACAGAGGCCAGTCCTGACAAGTAGCCTGCTATATGTGAGGCTTATGTACTTAATATAGCTTTGAAATGCTTTGTCATATGAACTGCTGCTTAAGCTGGCCTTGATTCAATTAGAAGTCATTTCTAGCTGAGGCTAACAGCTCATTTTTTTCTTTTGCTCATGTTTTTGCCAAAAAGAACTGTTCGGCAGAGGAAGGCTTATTGAGAATACGAAGAGACATCCCATCGTCCCACACAGTGTCTTATGGGCCCATTAGGCGACTCGTGACTGATGTTGAAAAGCCCAATCTAAGTATGTATTTATATTATCACCCTGCATTTCAGATTTTAAGGCCTTAACTCCTTTAGTTAAAACACTTATGGTTTCACCTGTGTCACTTTCTCGTTAGGTACTGCTGGAGTTCCTCCTGTTGAGACTCTTGTCCTTGGTGGGCTGCTGATCATCTTGCTGCTGATCACAGGGGTGTTCGGGAAGTTGTGGCTCCGCTCCAGACGTTTCTACCCAGCACGGGAGGCACAGCTCACCCTGTCTAATATTCACCACATCTCCGAGGTGGCTTCATGAATCAGGGGGCTCACTGTATAGAGCTGAGAAATGGACATAGAAAATATGTTAAAATATTGTGTATTTTTGTTTAATAAAACTGGTTTCTTTACTTGTACGAAATATACATTAATAAAGTTTCTCTAAAGATTTGTTTGTGCTTCTTTAATGTGCTTTTCACACATCTTGGGAGATCACAGAGACCTTTGGTATAGAAAAGAGACATCATACAAATGACCAAATTGTTTATTATTTCAGACTGATATGGAGGAAATATATGTTACTCATTTGTGCCTATTAAAATCCTAATACATTATCACGGATATTCTTTGTAAAACTGTCTTCGGGGTATTCCCCAGTCCGTCTATTTCAGTTCTCTCTAGAAGGCCTGCGTCCATAAACCTAGATTTGACCGGTCACTTTACGTGATGACGTAGTACTGCGGCGCCCCAAGCCAGGATCAACACACCTCCGACCGTCCGACTCAGAGCAGCGAAGGACTCGGAGTCTCTGAACCAGCTGCAGCCAGTTCATAACTTTAAAAGGTTTGGAGCACATTTAAAATTACAAGCGGTTTGTATTTACACAGTTCCCACCGTGTTGACATCGGCAGGAGTAATTTAAAGGATACGATATAAAGAAAAAAACAATTGGATACTCTGGTAAGCTATTTCCAGAAGCTACCGGCTAGCTAACAAAATAGGTAGCGGCTAATGCTAATTGGCTGGCTGAGTTGTTGATGTTCTTTTGTTCAGCTTGTAAACTTAAAAGTATTGTGTTTCCTTGGTTCCCTTTCGCTGTTACGCCTTTTCCCTGAACGTTTCATGTGAATAACCAAGATATGGTGATATTTTGGGTACATTATTACAACTGGTTAGATTTTCACTAACTTATTGTTTATGTTTTTAGCTGTTTGCTAACCTGCCAGCTGTGCTTGCGTAACGTCGTTGTTTAAGGGCAGCAAAGACTTTAACATCACTTCTTATGTGCTCATTTATTTTTGGGACATGAGAAATTCTTGGTCTTTCGGTGCTTTTTCCTTGACAAAAATGTCTAAAGTAGTTACACTTCCTGAAGTGCTTGGCGTTATTGAGTCTAGGAATTTACCTCGTTGTGTTGCGACTGAAAGGCAAGCAATTTAAAAATGTCCTGACAGCCTTCACAGGGTATTTACGATAGTAATTTGTATGAATGAAGACAATACTCAAAGGCCATAAATTAAAACTTCAGGTCTATACTAGTTAAACCAGTGTCCCGAAACACAGGAAAGGTGCTGTGAAATGTTGCTGAAAGGCCTGCATATTTTGTAAACAAATGGCGCCAGAGAACACGACGGAATACCAAGTAAATGACACAAATAATTACTATGTTACTGTTGCTATTGTGTTGAAATAATTGTTTCTTTGTTTACAGTGTTGAATCATTCACCCTTGCCCCTGCTACAGCCAGCTGGCCAAGGAGAGGCACATTAGAATGGAGACCCTGCACCCCCACTGTTTGAAATGCATCAACAGAAGATGCATGGTGAGACCAGAGGCTGGTGTTTCCTGTGATTTGATTGGTTGTCCTCTTGTTTGTGGGGCAGTCTTTCATTCTTGCAAGCTGGATGAACATCGTCTGCTGTGTCCGTATGAACGACTGCCTTGTTTAAACCGTGTATTTGGCTGCCCTTTTACCATCCCGAGGATCAAGATGGCAAAACATCTTGAGACGTGCCCTGCAAGTATAGTATGTTGTACTATGGAGTGGAACCGCTGGCCCGTGAGCTATGCTGATCGCAAGTCCTATGAAAACTTGAGCAAAGACTTTGATGAGGTGGAGCAGCTGGATATGGCTTTGGCTCTGCAGGATCAGAGGATGCTACTGGAGTCCCTGAAAGTCACAACCACTGTTTCAAAGAATGGGGATAAAGAAATGGATGAAGGTGATAAAATGGCCACAGCATCATCTCTGCCAGAGACTGTTTTAGGTGGTGGAACAGTAGAAATGGAAGAGGAACCTTATAATGAGTTGTATAGGCCTTCAGTGGAAACAAGCAGAAGTTTAGCAGCTGCCTTAGACATCCTGGCTAACGCTAGTGATATTGATGCAATTGTTGGAAATCTAAATGGTGAGAAGGCTGATAAGAATGGGGCTCGCCATAATGGAGAAAATGGGGATAGTCACTGTGTACATGTCGCTGAGGGTGGGAAGAATGTAGAAATGCGAGAGAGTGACTCTGATTCAGAGTGTGAGCTTGGGGCAGTAGGTGGAGTTGATTGTGCTGTGGGAACAGATGGAGAAGAAGACTCTATCAACTGGGCTGAAGAAAACAAGTTTGTTGAGATTTTTCTTGAAGAAAAGGAGGACTTAGTGGAGGAACCAATAAATGATTCCAACCTCGTTTGGCCAGAAATGCCTCAGAATTACATACCTGTTGTAGCACTGGAACCTCCTGTACCTCAACATGCCCAACTTGTACCTCCAATGCCATTCCTGCTATCCGATCACGTGAGAAATAATTTCTTACAACACTTACCCACTGAATTGAGGTACAGATGTTTGGAGCGTAAACTACAGAATGTTGAAGTGCTCCGAGGAATAAATATGTTTACATTTAACGGACGCCGGGCCCTACTGTCAGACCCGTACTTGTTTCGAGCAAAGATGGAGGACAAGGCGGTCGACACGTCTGACCTGGACGTAGCAGATGACCCCATGGGTCTCCATGGCATAGATCTCATCACTGCGGCTTTGCTCTTCTGCCTCGGGGATTCTCCAGGAGGCAGGGGAATCTCAGACAGCCGGTTCGTCGATGGCTACCACATTGACTTTGGTACGCAGACATTCTCCTTCCCTTCAGCCATTCTTGCAACCAACACCATGGTGGGCGATATCGCTTCAGCCTCAGCCTGCGATCACGCCAGTCCACAGCTTTCCAACCCCAGCCCTTTCCACACTCTCAGACTGGATTTAGTGCTCGAGTGTGTGGCCCGATATCAGACCAAACAGCGCTCCATGTTCACATTTGTGTGTGGGCAGCTGTTCAGACGAGATGAGTTCTCATCTCACTTCAAAAATGTTCACGGGGACATTCATGCTGGACTCAACGGCTGGATGGAACAGCGTTGTCCCTTGGCATACTACGGCTGCACCTACTCTCAGAGGCGGTTCTGTCCGTCGGTGCAGGGCTTCCGAATAATCCATGACAGACATCTTGGTTCCTTTGGGGTCCAGCCTGGTACGCCCTTGCGAACCGGAGATAGCCTCTCAAGAAAGACGCGCCGCATTGGCTCTTGCTGTGATCAGTTCAGCAGCCTTCCGTTTGAAGTGCTGCAGCACATAGCAAGTTTTCTGGACAGCTTCAGCCTGTGCCAGCTTTCCAGAGTGTCCCGCACCATGAGGGACGTGTGTGCTAGCCTGCTCCAGATGCGCGGCATGGTCGTCCTGCTGTGGGAGAAGAAACGGCGTGACGACGGGTCTCCCTCATGGCAGATTACAGATAAGGTCAGGCCTTTCTATGTAACCTTTTTTTTTAATGAGTTGTAATTTGAGCTTTTACCTCTTAAGGATGGCTAATGGTTATTTCTTCTGTTATCATTCAGGTGTGGCGATTCAGCACAGCTTTTGGCACGGTTAACGAGTGGAAGTTTGCCAACATCGCCAGCATGGCCGACCACCTGAAAAAGTGCAAATTTAACCAAATCACCCGTCGGGAGGAGGCTATCCCTCTGCCGTGCATGTGTTTTACCAGGGAGCTCACAAAAGAGGGGAGATGTTTACGATCAGTTCTCAAACCCGTAGCATAACTGAAGAGGTTGTCTTTTGGACTTTTCTGTGACCTTAAGAACTCTGGTCCATTTGTATTTTTCTCCAGTGTTTACAGACATTAGTCCTTCACGCCTAAAAAAAGATCACAGGTGAAACTACATAAGCTGCTTTATGCTTCACAGTCGAGTTAGTTGTGAGTCAGTTTATATTTCAAACAGAAGCCACCATGCATTCTTGAGTCAAAACTGTAAACAACGTAAAAATGCAAACCTCGTTTTCTTCGCGCTTGGATTTGTAAATCCTGATTACTGAATCTGTACACCGATCTACTCTGACGTGTAAATAATGGTGTGTCTTTCTGTTTTTTAAAAAGGTTTTTTATGTCAGTACTGTGCTGCGTGGTAAGAGTAGAGCCTTAACGTAAGATACACTTGATATTCTAGTCATGAGGTTGTTCGGAACTTCTCAGTGAGATTTCTTTACTGCTTCTAGCTGGAACAGTTTACTAGTATCTTGCACCGTATTAAATTTTATCCCGGTGTCTCGAGTAACCATGTGTTAGAACGTACAGATTTCAGTGCTTTAATAGTACACATTAAGACTGACCAAGCATCTGTGAAAGATGTATGCTATTTTTCTGGATGATCCAACTGTGGATGTTGGTTTCTGCTCAGCAGCATCATCGTGTTTGGTGTTGGTATGTTACCATAGTGACTAGGGTGGTTCATTGTCCTCCTCTCCTCTCTTTTGTCTTTTCTGACAATGGACTGTTAGTCAGTGAATGACGTGAAGCAACACTTTTTTCCAGCCTTTTTTCTACCAGTTTTTATAGGGTATTTCCTCCAAAAATCTAAATGTAACAAGAAAAAATTGAATGTACTCAATATGTCATTGACTGGTTAACAAGCAGAAAGCTCAATTATCCCCACCCCCCACACAGAGTCAGAACTCGCTGAAACCCTGCCGGCCAGGTTTTAGGAAATGTAGCAGGCGCACACCTCACTCCAGTTTTGAGAATCACTAAGTATATTCACCACAGTTATTTATCACGGTTGCGTGTTTCTGCACTACATGCCCATTTTATTTTTATTTACGGTGTCTCAGGGTTGTCGCTTGATCTCGACAGATAAAGTAGCTGGGAATGACGCGCCAGCTCGTTGGCTGCTTAATTATGAATTTGAAGACTAAAATAAGCTTACAAGCTAAATAAATAAAAAAAATTAAACGTCAGGCAGCAAATTGATGTAGATGGACACAAGAGAGCTGACAGCACATGAATATGATGCTCTGAATGTTTTTGAATAGATAAAACTTGTAGTGATGAGAACACATAGTTCTTTGAGTGTGTTTTTGTGGTGTTTTTTATATATATTTTTTAGAGTTTGATGGAAAATCCAGACTGCATCAATGCAAAGCTGTTTCATCAAGTTTTTGTACTGGTACTTTTTAAAAAATATCTGCCTCGTTTGGGTCTAGATGTGAATTATCATTTTTGCACATTACTGCATGTTCCGTGAAAATGAAATCCTGATGCTGAGGTTGACTTTGCTTGAGTTGTTTTTTATTTTATTTACTCCGTCATGTTCTGCATGTGGGTTTGAAAAATATGTTTGTCAGTCCAGTTGCCGATTAATCTTTACAGTTTTCTCAGGCACCACGTGTCAAGTTATTGTTTTTTCTGAATATTTTTTTAAAAATCATGTATATGCAGGAACTATATTCCTTATCACATGTGCTCAGGTTTGAATAGATCAAATGTTTGTGTAGATTGGAAAAATCTGCATAAATGTTTTTTTGTTTTGTTTTTGTTCTGTTTTGGCTCGTATAAATATGACGCGAACAAGGTGAAAGAAATCACCTCTCCTGATTCCATACAGTCAGTTTTTGCTCCAGGAGTTTGTGCTCATTTTATCAGTATTTTATTTTGTTTTCCACTCCCGTTGAAGTGTTTTTTTCACCACAGTATGCCAGCTTCACTTGTTTGACTTTTGAAGCAATTTAATAAAAGAGATTAAATTTGTACGTTTTGTAACTTTTAATGCTGCTTTTCCTATCCTGGAGCTGCCCTGTTGATTTATGAATACGTTTGACCGCACAGTATGTCACACACCCTGGTTAGCAGTTCAGTAACAAATCTTGTAGACATGCAACAGATTATACTTCTCTTTTGCGATACAATGACACGCCAACATAGCTCAGTACTTTGGACTTAACTGATCTCTCAATCCTGTTCTGCTTTTATTAAAAAGACACATTCAGTTCGTGAGTTGTTGAAGGCAGTCGGGAGCCACTGCTTTACTACTATGGGAAAATTAAAAAAATATATATCAGTGAATCAGATCCGTACAGCTTTAGAAAAGGCAACTGGATTTCTAGTTGGATGTTGAAGACAAATTCACCTCTCATCAGAAATGCTTAAATGACCTGGTAGACTGACAATTTACTCCAAAGAGCAAATCAGATTTGAGAGTATTTCCAATTATTACCACTGAGTGGCGTCAGATCATTCATTTACACTTCATTTTCATGGGTGACAGGGTTATTTTGGTCTAGATGCGGTAGAATATTTTAGTATTACATTTTGAATGACTCCTGTTCAGTGTCTTTACGCGGGCCCGAGTTCGAGACCTGGTCTAGGTTCCTTTAACAGCATGTCTGAATCCCTCTGCGTTTACCCACCAGCTGTCCAATAAACGTCAACTAGCTTTAAAAATGTAATCTAATATAATAGCTATGCAACTTAGCCGACAGGTTTGATATATAACCAACAATAAAAGCAGGAATTGAACGCTCAACATGTAGACAGAGCAAACAAATTTGAAATCAGATAGACAACGTGTTGCGTGAGGTATAAATACAGATATCTAGAATATATACGGAGTTTGTCACAATATGATTTATGTCCGATTAAATTCAGGAGGTATTTTAACTTGCTAACGTATAGGAAGTCCAAAATGTAACGCAGGTTGTCAAGCTAACACCTCTACCGAACTCCCTACGATGTAAATGTCACTCGTTGGGACGCGGTACGGCCTCACAGAAGAACGTAATACTATCTGCGTACTCATGGGAAGTTCTACAGCCAAAAATAAAAATATGAAGACAGCATTACTCACGTTTTCCTAACCCGGCAGAGTTCGGTGTTGTGAATAGAACTTCCGGTGGAAGACCCGAAAGATCGCAGCAGGTGTTTTAATCAACAACGTCGACCTGGGATGTTGTTGGTTAAAAGGAAATATGATGTCTAATTGACTTTAATTGTTTGGAAATATATGCCCTCTTTAGTGAAGTTCTATGATAACTTAACATTGGCTGGGGTAATTCTTCTCGCCCTTTTTTCATCAGGTATATTTTTAAATGCCTTATAGAACTTCATACCATTAGTCTGGTTTGAACCAACCACAGGTTGGATCCCACCGAACAGTCACCTTGATACATGGATAAGTTACAAAATCACATAAAATACAGATAAATGGATGGTACAGTCATGTGAGCATAACAGGCAGAGCTACCTGAATAATGTCCCAGAAAAAAAAAAAGTTAGAACAAAACTAGCCACACTGCCAGTAAATCCCCCCACAAACCACAACATTGCTGCTGAGGAAGTGTGGGTCCTGCAGCCCTGCAACCAGTTTCAACAAGGAGGTGGCTCACTTTTAAAAAGAAACACCCACCAGTGACCTTCAGGCTTCGTGTGATTGTCTAATTCATGCTCAAACAACCCGCTAACAACTAGAACTTCCCATCTAGCATGTGAAAGGCTGCCTCACACAGGATATTTCATAATCACACACTCGCAGCGCTGAGAAACACAGAAGAGCTCTAAAAACCTGTTTCCCCTTATCTCTGTTAGTGTCACCGAACCAGAGTGAACGCGTACGCACACTGACTCAGCTTCACCTGTCCTCCTGTATGGACGCAGTCCACTTTGGTCACGTCCTATTGGTTGAAAATGACACCAGGTCTTCTCTGATGACCCGAGAGTATTCTTTGAACAAAAGCTTTAGACTATAGGTGGTTTGAAATGAGGCTGGTCCTCACAGTTGTGCAATCTATATAAATAGATCCCCTCCTCCCTGGCTAAACAACAATTAAAGGCCTATGTATTTCCAAAGATCTGTTGAGCAATGGCTGCGGTAAGAAGCAGAATGACTTTAATTTCCATTCTCATGTTGATGTCTCAAGCTGCTACATTCAGGCTGCCCACGCCAAGCCACTTCGAGGCAGTTCACTAAAACGGAATCACACTTTATCAACTTAAATATCACATTTAATATTAAAAAACCTTGACAGCTAAGAGCTTTAGAACAAAGCAGTGCTTTAAATACCAGTCAATCAGAAGGCATACAAAGTAACAGTCAGGAAATGTAACCACCGCATTGCACTGTACACATTTGCATATGAACCTGTGGTTTAAAATGACGGCCCGTTCTTCTCGCACAAGCACAGAGAAGCAAAAGACTACCGTGTGGAATTTACACAGTGGTCTAAAACTGAAGGCAGTGCTGCGCTTTATACAAAGAAATATATGGCTGACAATATAAAATGAAGCTCTTCAAGCTCCGGTTTCATCTGCAGCACGGGAAGCAGCAGCAAAACAGCTTCTTGCATGGGTTGTTTTTCTTGTACCTAACAGCCCTCTTGATCTCATTGTTGGATTTTGCAACGTAGTCCTGAGTTGCACCTACATTCGCTTCTATGTTGTCCAGCATGCTGCCCTGCTGCTCCACCAGAAGAGCCATCTGGAAGAACAGGTCGCGGATGTCCCTGATGCGGCCCTCCAGCTCCAGGAGCTCCTTGTGCCTGTTCTCAATCTCGTTGAGGGCAGATCTGGCCGTCCGGCCCTCCAACAGTAGGTTGTCCGAGAAGACGTTCCACTTTCCCGTCTCGATCATCTCGTCTATCTGCTCCCTGCTCACCTCCTTGCCCATGATCTCCGCTTGCCTCTGAATGCGGGTCTTGCAGTTCTCCCGCTGGGCCATTTCGGCCTCGTTGTACTCGGACATGACTTTGTGGAAGGCGCTGGTCAAGGACACGTACTGTGAGCGCACCATGCGAGCCACAGCGGAGGTGGAGCCGTGCTGCTCCTCCTGCTCCTTGCTCAGGCTCCCCAGCTCCTCCAGCCGCGCGTAAATGGCTTCCCCCCTGGCCTTGATGTCCCGACCCAGCGCGTTGGAGTCCCTCTTGATGCTGCTGATCCTCCGGACCGAGGTGAGAAACCTGGTGTTCTGCTTCCCCAGACGCTTCACGTCCAGTTTGAGCAGCAGCATCTCCTTCCTCATCATTTGGGCCTTTTTGTGGATTTCGTCCACCACATCCTCGCCCTCAAACACAACAGCGTGCTGCTCAAAATAATCTTTATCCTCACTGCCAAGGTTCTGGTTCTCCTCAGCCCTGAACTCCTCCACAGCAGGCTTTGAGACATAGGCCTGCAGCTCACCCAGTCGGTCCCTCATTTCACCTGCAAAAGGATTCAGGATCATTTACAAATACCTTAGAAGGAATGCTAATGTGGATATCGCCTTCCTGTGTCAAAACACTGATGATAGCAACCTATCCAGTTAACTCCAACACAAAACAGTCTTTACCACTCACCCATAAAACAAAAAGATAAATAAAGTTGTCACAAAGGGCCAATCTCATAACTGTTCAATGGCACAAAACTTGAAAACTTAATAGGGTTTTGCCACTAAGACCTATATAAGCAGTTGTCTTGCAAAACATTTTAAAGAAGTTGTTTTCTCAATTTGTGAAGTACTGTAGTTGTGTAACTACATGAAAATCGGACCTAGAATTCTAATCTTTACCACTTCTTGCTTATTTTCCCTACAGCCAAAGATATTAGGACCAAAGATGCCGAGACTTTTACTAATGTTATCTTTTTTTCCAGTTAGATGATTTGTAATATATTCCTCTGGCAGTTCCTTATTTGAGCGATTTTGGCTCTTTTTATTCTTTTCTAGAAGCCTATAACATGAAAAACCGAGATCAAAGAGGGCAACTTCGTTGGGGAATTTATCAAACTATACATCTTGAGTATTTTTAGAACACTCCCGTTACAATCTTAGATGTTTTCTCTGAGGTTTCATGGAGAGGAAACCGATGGGTTACTTCCTCAGATGTGACGGCCTCGGGTGAAGAGGGCTATAAATGTCTTTCAGGTCGTCTCTGACTCGTTTATAATCGACTGAGAGAAACTTTAAAGCCTTTGTTCAATAGCAGCCATCGCTTTGTTTTACAAAATGTTTATTAGGATGGAATAATTGCAGCAGAAACAGGGAAATATTTTTTTCCCTTTCATCGCGACATGATAACTTCTGGAAACAGAAAAATCTTAACAAAGATCAGCCTCAGCCTGAACTAGATGCGATCATCTCAGACTGTCTATAATAGCTGCATAAACACACAACCCAGCCCACCTACCTCTGTGTGCTGCCGTCCGGCTCTGTTAAACTAAAGCAGAGGAAGCGATGAAAGAAAGGACCATTTCCTCTTTTTCTATCGGTTACACACCAATTTCAACAGGCATCAGGCCATCGAGTCAACAAAGTTAGGAGGTGTTCGTAGCAGGTGCTGCATGCCTGCAGCGGCTTCTGAAGCGGAAGATCACGCCCCCCCCCCCCCCCCCCCCCCCCCCCCACCCGCCCAGCACATCACCCGTTTCTCTGCTCAGTCCAGGAAGAAGAACCATCGCATCATTTCAGAGACAGCTCTGCACAAAAGAGCCCACAAGACGTGCAGTTTTTATTATTTATTATAGGAATGGCACAAACATTTCCTTAAGTTCTTAAGTTAAGGCGTCCACTGAATTAATGCAAAGCTTATCATAGAAAAAAAGTTAAGTAAGAAGAAGTTACTCTTATCTGGAATCTAGTTTGCATGAGTTTGTTTTGATGCTTCCAAGCAACTGTTTATGGAAGCTATGCTGAAAATGGTTGCAACGGTGTAAAATAATATCAGCAAAATGTAGAACAGAAATGAGACACGTGCAGTTTTTCTTTTCGACCTAAGAAACATGTACAAGAATATCCAGTAAAGAAACAGGGTGATTTCCAACCCCTTAGTAATGCTTTAGAATGCGAATAAGGATGTCTGAAATGACTAACAATTCAAAAGCAGTTTGGTCCACTCATCTCTATCTCCACCCAACTTAAAGCTGAAAGCATGATTCATTTTCAGGAACCCACAAAGAAGCAAAAACTCTTTTTCCTCTTGTGTCTTATGGTGTTGTTAACATCTAGAATTTGTCAGCATCTTTTAGAGTTCGCTTCACTTAGGAATTAACTCAGGTAAAAAATGCTCCATGTTTTTGTTTGATGCTTTATATAAGCAAATCTGACTTCCAACATCAAAAAGGTTAATTCTCAAAGCGTGTGCTGGTCAGGCCTTTCAGGAGACTGTCCATCCTTGGGGCGACACATCCGTGGGTCCATCCTCCCCCCTGGAGCCAGTGCATTAAAGTCTGATGTTTACAGTCTTTTACAGTCATACAAAGCTGCATGGCCCTTAGTTGTGATAACATGGAAAACATCCACAAAATAGCTTCTTGAAGGGGTTGTTTTTATCCGAAGCGGTGGCTCTGTCCAGCTGGACTATGCCCTCCTGAATGACCCCTTCAGCATTCTGAACGTTTTTTTCAATGTTTTCCACCCCGACCCCCTGCTCCTGCACGAGCAGGGCCACGTCCAGGAACAGCTCCTGGATCCCCTCTATCCTCTTCTCCAGGTCCAGCAGCTCCTGGTGCCGGCTCTGGATCTGCTGGAGGGCGGAGCGGGCGGTTCTGCCCGTCACCTGGACGCTGAACACGCACAGCTCCTCGCCCTCCATCATCTCGTCCAGCTCCTCCTCGCTGACCTCCCTGCCCACCACCTCCATCTGCCTCCTGATCTGCCGTTTGCAGGCGTCCCTGTGGCTCATCTCCGTGTCGTTGTAGCTGAACATGACCTCCCGCAGGGCGCTGCTCAGACACTGGTACTGCGTCCGGGCGATGCGCGCCGCGGGGTCGGAGGCGCCCCGCTCGGCCTCCGTCTGCCTGCCCAAGTCGTTCATCATGTGCAGCTGCTGGACCACGGCCTCCCCTCTGCGCTTGATGTCGGCGCCGATGGCGTTGGAGTCCCGCTTGGTCCCCACGGGGTGCGAGGTCTGGTTCAGAGCCTGGTAGTTCACCTCCTTCAGCTCGCCGATGTCGTTCTGGATCTGCTGGATCTCCAGACGTATGCGCCGGGCCTCCGTCAGGATGTCGTTCAGCTCCACGTCGGCATCCGCCGCCGCCTCCACTTGGTCCGAGAGTTCCACTGTGCTGAAACCCTCAGGCTCCGTCTGCACCTGCTGCAGGTTCCCCAGTCTGTCTCTCATGTCTGAGGGAAACAAGAGCAGAAAGATTGGATTCATCTGGGAGCAACATATTCCATCATGTCTCTTAAGCAAAGTCTCAAAGAGAATGTTTCAGGTTAACTGACCTATGGCTGGATTGAAAACATACCAATATCTGCATTATAGCCTTGGTTTCAGACCAAAGTTTCACCACTTGGCACCACTTTTTATAGGGACAGTGAGTAACAATGACACTGCTGTTTTCGATCTCATTGTATGATGTTGATGGACGTGTCACAAAAATGTACAAAACCAATGTTGAAGTAATGCCAGAATCCAAGACCAGGTTTGAAATTGCAGTGCATTACCAATATAAATGTAAAAATAATGTTTATAGATTGCAGATACATATATATATATTCAGGTGTAAGATTGGGCAGGGAAGGGAGTGAGGTAAATGTGTCAGGTGCATTGTTTGTGGAGTACATTTTTTTTTGCAGAAATATTTATATGCTCATTTCCTGAGATCTGGTTCATCCTATTTTCAGTGGGGATGTTTGCCCATTTAGCTGTTAAATGGTTAGATTGTCTTTCAGAGGCTTCCCATTGCCCTGCTTGCCCTTTACAGATGCTCTACAGCTGTTTTTATTCCCTCAAAGGTTTTTTGTCGAGTCTAGTGACCTTTTTTTTAAGTGTCTTGATGGGAAATGGAGTAGTGTGAGAGAGGGAGACACACAGGACCCTTGCACTTAGACATAGAGCCACTGAGGGAAATGGTACAAACAGTGTCCCTGACTGTCTTTTAGCTTTGACTCACCTTTTTTCTTATTTATTTTTGCCTTACTTCCCCTTTCCTCTTCCCCTCACACTCCCATTCTTTCCATTTTCTCTCTTTTCTATCTTTCTATCTGTCTTTCTTTCTTTCTTTGCTTGTCTTTTATAATTAGCTACTTACTTTTCGTTCTATTTAAATTAATAGGATTTCTTTTCGTTTAGGACAGAAGAAAGTGCTTACATCCCACAATGAAGTTGAAATGATTATACGTTTTGGGGTGTTAATCCATCTCACACCCAAAAAGCAAAAACTCAATAGATGGGATGAATAAGCTTCTAGTTGTTCATTAACATATGAAGACATCAACCAAGCTACATAAAAAAGCATGTAGTCACACTCACCAAAAAAAATCTGGCAATAGATGAGTGAGCTTTTGCTGCGTCTCCAGTATCAGGGCATCTTAGATGAATGCACAAGATTTATCCAGACATGTCTCAAGTCTCACCAAACAAGTTCACAAGCAGACGAGAACAGGCAAAAAGGTACCGAGCTCAATAACTACTCTGAGGAGTGTGCTCAAAAGTGGATAGAGTTTAGAGTAATGTCACTGAAACTCAGCAGAGGATACAGAGGATGCAGTCCTGCTGAATGTCACGAGTGACCCAGTGACTCAAGAAAGTCTGGTTGGTCTTAGCTGATTTCTACAGTCGAAAAGCTCATTTTTAAGGTTATTCTTAGAACCTATTAATAACTTCAATTCTAAAACTTTGTGCCCTGTTCAGTATTTCAAGTTTAATCCATCATTCGAGCCCAAAGCAGAGGTAGAAAACAAACAGAATGACATCATTATTTTGCCTTACTTATGGCTGTTGGTTTTCTGTAGACGGCTCACAAATGTTTCTGTTTCTTCTCCGGTTAAAGGCGGTTTTGAGGAAATTTTGAAGTCAAATCCAACAAGTGCCTGCAGTGAGAGCGATGATCTTGGAAAAATGTTGGCCATTATCACTGATACACCTGTTTTAAAGGGATGGCTGATAGAAACAAGACATATTGCATTCCTCTTGTGTCACATGGATGCACGGCTTGGAGTAAGACAAAGCCCAATCTCTTCATTCATCATGAAGGTACATTAAATGTATGCTTCTATGCTCAAGTCACCCGTCAGCACATTGATTCTCTTTCATATATATATCAATTTGAAAGTGGATGTGGGGATTGTGTTGAGGCCTTAAAAAAAGCAAGACAAAACAAAGCTGACTCTGAACATGAGAAGCATTGCAAAAAGTAAAGAGGAAGTATTTCAGATATATAATCTCTTTAAGGGGTGGGACTTGTGCATGTGTGATAAGAAGTCATGAGGCCAGGCAGAAGCCTGATATCAACATTTCAATCTGAAAACTTCCCAGTTTAGTGAAACTTAATCTGAACAAAGATGCATTTGCATACTGCTCGGATCATCCAAAGGTCATGGGTCAAGCAGCCAGAAAAATGGGAGCCCAAACGTATATATTTGGGCAGGAGTGTGACAGGCTCAGTAGATGCGTTGGCGGCTGCGTGATGCAGTAATTTCCAAAGGCAGCAGCGGGATGTACGTAGTTACAATTTCCACCAGCCTCGGTTAATCTGAGTCACACTTCGGAGGGGAATTTTTAAAAGCTGTGTGACACAGCTTTAAAGGATTCTCTGACACTCTGTCACTGCCTCTTTATAAGAAGAGCAGTGTGAATGAAGCACTTATGGCTAAAGATCTGCCACAAAACCTCAGTAGCAGGGCTTTCAGTTAATCTAATTTTATAATCACTTGCTGAAGATCTAACATTTTCACATGGTTGGCTAGGGCTGATTTTCACTCGGTGAGGGCAAAATATATGTGGGTATTTGTCGTTCCGCTGTCTCTTCATGGACATTATTGTGTTAGATTTAAACTGTTAATGTTCAAATTCATGAAACCAGAGTGAAAATTAATAAAATGAACACAACACAAATCCAACCACTAGAGGGCAACAGAAATTTGAATCTCTCGGTCAGAAGGCGCTTTAAAAGTCTTTTTCTGGGCCTCAATTCATCACCTTTTGGTCACCAAACCTGCTGCATCTTAGAGCCAGAGGCAAAACACCCACTCTGAATGTCTGATGTAGTCAGATGAGAACAAACAACCCAATCATACATCACTGTGATGTGACCAAATGCAGACGTTTCTGTTTACTTTTCGTTTTCAGACGCTGATTTATGACAAATGATTTCTGAATTGGAACAAAATAACTTCATACATTTTTGGTCAAATCAGAAAAGGATGATCAGATGAAAATGATGTCTCATAGTCTGAAAGCCGCTCTGGCGTTCTTTAGTAAATTTTCCACTCAGCTGCCATGTGCAGCTCAGTAAGTAATGTCTAATGTCTGCTAGCTTAGTTCTGATTCTAGATTCTCCTCTTTCCATAAAGGCCTGGACTGAAGGTTGGTGGGATAGTCAGACTTAGGAAGGCCTGCTGATATGTCCTCGGCTCCCCCGTTTCAGAATAACAGAGGCTGAGGCCCCTTTGAGGACATCTTACTCACAGACACCCTCTTGTGTCCCCTCTGTACTGTGACACAACACAGTTTATCTCCAACTGTGAACCCTTTAGACCAACACGAGCAGTCTTAATTGTGTCTGATGAATTCAATTAGTCCTGTCTGGAGCGCTCCCCACCTCTCAACCTGGAACAGGAGGAGAGAACGAATGAATGAATTCAATTAAGTTGAGGGAGCATCTCACGGACAACTGACAGAAGTGAGATTCAACCCGTTCCCCGGTTTGGCCTCAGGAGGAGGACAGTGTCTTCACATTCAGGGTTAAGTTTAAAACTTTTTCTTTGTAAAGCTTGTTATGGGATGGACTCAGTTGATCTGAGCAGCCTTTGTAGTTCTTTTTCTGTAGACCTATTCTGCTTAATGGATGTCCCATGTTGCACTGGGATGCCCCAGTCATGATGTCATTTAAGAGCTACATGAACTGGAGGGAATCTCACTTAAATATTTATGAGCTGATGTGAATCATATCGGACTTGCTTTGACTCAATTTGACCTGTTTACTTTCTCTGAATTCAATCATTACATTTTTAAAATGCCCCGTTGAGAAACTAAAATAGCTGTCAGTAAAATACGCACACTGTTTTGTATGTCAGCCTTTTCCATTTGTTTCTTGTTATGGCATGTGGAACAAAACACTTTGATTTAGGCTTTCCATCTTTAATTGTAAATACTTGGAAAAAATTGCTCCTAGCTTTTGCAATCCCTTTTTATAGACAGACTTTATTAATTCAATTGATTCTTTGCTCCAAACTCAGCTTGACAAACGTTAAAGGTTGAAAGCTTGAGTTTAAATTATGTTATCTCTTCCCAGTCAGCCGGTTCTGATTTGAGGGTGTTTTTTTTCTTTTCTTTTTTTTTCTAAATCAATAAACTGTGTTTCGGATGAAACTTCCTTCATCACCAGTCAGGATGCTCGCATGTGATCATCCAAAATCTAACTCAGCCTAACCCACCCTCCTCACCCTATCACATGCGAGCATCTTCCAGACAGTTTGAAAAGTTGAACAAACAGTGGGAGTTTTATCAGTTCATAGTGAATGGACCCAAAAAAAGGACTCTTGATTTAAGGCAGCATATTTGTTAACTCAAGGAGAGAATCAACGGTCTTCTCTGTGCACTAACAGACTTGAAGCAGCCTATTTCCACACTGACATCCATTCACCGCCTCACAATGTCAGACTCATTTGTGGAGGCTCTTTCTTTTGGGGAATTTTGATATTGTATGATACTCAAAAGTTTCTATTCCATGATCAGCGATTCATTCGCTTGGCTCGGACAGAAGTTGAACTTTTAGCTGTGTGATCTGGTTACAGCAGCTGTCATTAAACATTACCAAAAATGCAGTTAAAGTGTAAAATTCTGTCAGCCAATATGTCTTTAAATTTGGAGAATAAATCAACGGAAAGTTCAGGCCAAGAAACATGACAGGCTACAGCATGTGAAGTGACTTTTCTCTGTGAAGCAGCAACTTTAATCTAATATCTCATGCTTTATGTTATTTTTTTCTGATGTACAGTAAGTGATAACAATTTCAACAGTTTCCAGTTAATTAAGTTTTCTGCTATTTCTGACAGACTTATGCAGTACAACTGTGGTAATCAACAAATCTTAGCTGACTTTCATGGTTTCTAATCTAATTTCTCGTGCATAGAGAGGAAAATGGGAAAAACCATAAGGACTCATTCACTGGGTTTGAATTTCCTCCACTTGCTTTTATTTGATACTCTGAAAAGCCCGTTTACAAAAAGAAAACATGCATGCACATGCAGCCGGACTCGCCAAGACCCCCCGTGTCTTGATCACATTATGTCACATCAGGCCTCAGGAGTTAGGCCGCTGTTATCCACGAAGAAAACATCAGCTGTTTCCAGTTACCCGAAGTTGTGACTCTAATTATTTCAACTTATTAACTCTGTACTGAGGTTTACATAACAGCACCAGTGTCTCAGAGCATCTGATCAAATTAACATGAATGCCTGTCATGGGTTTGGAGATGTTTCTTTCTGATTTCCCAAGCTCTCACTTTGCTCAGCTTTAGAGATGCATCGCTCTTTTTTAAGACAACCTGCACGGATATGTTGCCTCTGATAAGCTTCATAATTAAGCAAAACTTAAGAACTTTTACAAATGTAAGAAGGACTCTGTGAGGAAGAAAACTTAAGAGTAAAAAGGCTTCCAGGCCCTCCTTTAGCTGGACAGTTTGTGGCTGGATGTCTGGAGGTATGAAGTTACATAAAGCTGTGAAGTTAAACCTTTACAGACTCATTGACAGCACTGAGTTGTTGTATCATCAAATCCGACGGAAATCAGAACAACCAAAGACAACCTTAATGATGAAATTTCACTTCAATCTGCTGACTACAACGGTCTAATATGTAGATGTCTAGATGGCCTCTAATCCCTGATTCACAGAGACAAACACTACACCCTTGGAAGGATTAAAAATAGGGCCAATATTGGTTATGACCTGAGGTAAACAGATTTCTTCCTATGAATAGTGTCAAATGCATTTATATAATGAAACAACGACAAAAAAAACACAATGCTGCATGCATGCATACATGCATACATGCATACATACATACATACATACATACATACATACATACATACATACAT